CTGGAGGAGCTGTGGGAAAACTCTAGGTGATCCGTCAAACATTTCTGCCTAACTGTGTAATGTATGTGGTTGTTCTCTTTCAGGACTGCAATCAGTAAGATTAGCATCTCAAGGATTAGAATCAACCGGGTCATCATCATCATCGTGTAGCAGGAGATCGGCATAGCAACAACAACAACAAAACACGAGACGCACATCAGAGGACTTGTTGATCAACATAAAACTGGTACTATTAGCTACTGGACGCTGAGTTCATACTGAGGGAAAATCTTAGAATCTATGGGTAGAAGACATCTAGAATAATATATACTGTTATTCATCATCATCATGTAGTAGGTCCTTTGCAGAACGTCGCTCTCATCACAGTCTGCCTGAAAGAAACTCGGTCTCTCGCCAGTTCTCCCGCCCCATGCACTTTCACACTCAAGGAGTCACTTATATCCTGTGCCAATCTTCGTGTCGGTCGGCCCCTGCCCCTCCTTCCTGAGTTTCTTGGGATAGTAATGTGGTAGTTTCCCGGTGCTTTCCACATCCACATGGCTTTACACCATGTCCTCAGCCTTCCGCAACCTTTTCGGTTGCTAAGGCAAGTGAGTGCCCTGCTCTGTGATGCTCCTGCTAACAGTATAATATAGTATTAATATAATATAATATAATTGTTACTACTATTTTTATTTATACTAACACTCACTTTCGTAACCTCAGAAGAACTCCATATTTTACATTTTTTTTAAAAAGAAACTGGACAAATTCTTTTGTATATCGACATTTCCAGAGTTTCAGTTTGATAACTTATCGTCATCCGATCGCGGGATGCAATTTTTCATTACTTTAAAGCGCCACCGTGGCTCTTGCCAGGGGCAGCAATATAGCCCGGTCATGACTAATGTCCAATTTCTGAACACGGTTTCTGGGACCTCTCCATGGGTGATCCTCATCCACATGGTGTTTATCGCTTGTGTGATGTCCTCGTGGGGTGAAATGTATTACTACTAAATTTAGTTTGTCTTTCTAATGACTTGTTCATTGTCCAAGTTTCTGTCTGTCTGTCCCTCACTCCTTTTATTTTCCTGACTTGAAATTCTTCGCTTGGTGCTGAAGATGGGGACGGAGCGCTTATGGGAGTGTCCCGAGTGCTGTGATATCGAATTTTAATTCCACATTCAATTTTTTTTTTAAAAATAAAGTTGTATGACTTTTTTTTTACAGTTGCAAGAGAAGGACAAGAAACGGGAAAACTAACCAGCCACCCCACCTCCCATTATGTGCCCTAGAATGTATGACCGCCTAACGTTTCTCATACAAACGGAAGTATTTGTTATGGTGCAACTTCTATATTTTCAGAATGAACTACTGCAATTTGTCAAAACACAACAAGAATATCATTATTTATTTACACGCTGGTAGCCTCATCGTCATCGACCACCAGTACCTAAGAAAAAGGGTTGACATTTACAGCAGGGTTCCAATGCTTCCTTTGAATCAAATTCAATGGTTCGTAACAACAATTTATGTCCCAATTTAGCGTGTAGGTGTAGTTAGGCAGTCGCCCGCTGAGAGTGGTGTTTCAGATATGGCAATGTTGGCGGTGTGCAGGAATGCCATCAGTACACGCTCTAACTACAAAAGTGGTCTTAGGCTCTAGGCAAGAGATAGCGTTCCGCCCGTCGATTTTTTTCGCGTGGATTTAGACTTCAAGAGGTTCCGGGTTGAGATCCGTGTGCATTGTTGCGGACGTAAAAAAAATCACTTAGCACTTAGAAATCGAAAAGAGTAGCCAAACGGCGCTTCCCTGGCAAAATTTAAGGATTTTTTTCTCGCGATGTACGGACATGTGCGCTTTAGACTCACCAGCTAATGCCGGAGGTCTATGGGTCACGTTGTTCAAAGCGTTAACTACAAAAGGGTTGCAAATGAATTTTAAATGTTCATCATAAAGCATTTGGGCGAGAGTAAATTTTTCGGCCTCACATATCGTCGATCTCCTGTTTACGAAGCTTAAACAAAAAAAAAAAACCTCCGGTACTGTTACCCTAATCCTTTTCAGGTAAATTCTCAATGGTGCATAGACACTCAATTCGCGTACACCAAAGACAATGTGAGTTTGTTTACAATAAGTTGGATTTTGTAGCATAAATATTCTTTAGGACAAAGCAATCAGTCCCATATTTCTCAATTTTATATTACCAGACATTTTGGTTTGTTTCAGCCTTTCACAGTAGAAGAGCAGTAGGTTTAAGGTTCGAGGTTTTGAACAACGGATCAACATCGTAACACACGGGTGTAACCCATTAGTGCTCCTTTCTTCTTCTAACTCAAGTCTGAGTCCGAAGAAGCTTAGCACAGTGCATAAGCTCTGTAGTACCGGTGAGGATCCTGAACTACCTTGAGAGCAGTAGGTCTATTCCCCCTCCCCAGACACACATACGGGGAGAACACAGTAGTAAGGATCTCAGCCTTTGGCTGCTCACTCAAAGTATTGTTTTGTGCTTGTTTACCTTCCCCCTTTCGTAAAGCTTTTAGTCACAGTTCTTCTTCTTTTTCTTCTTCTTCTTCACTTCCTCTTTTACCGCTGTGGGTGTCGAGGGAGATAAAAGGTTCTGTTTCTAGCTCTTCTGGCTGCCTCGACCATTGGCACATCGTGCTGTTGTAGAGTTTCTCTGATGTTATCCTTCCATATTGTTCTTGGTCTACCCCGTGCTCTATGTCCTTCTTCTCTTTCCATGTATGCTTTGTATGGTATGGTGTCACAAGGCATTCTTCTAAGTGGGCAAACCATTTCACTTGCTGTCTTTGTATGTAATTTAGAATCGGTTCTGTGCCGACTTGTTCTCTTATGATCTCATTCCTGATCTGATCTCTTATGGTCACTCCTACAGCCCTTCTCAGACATCTCATTTCCGTAGTTACTAATTTTCTTTTATGGTTTGTTGTGAGTGACCATGTCTGGCACTGGTAGCACAGAGTTGGAATAAATACGCTTTGAATAAGATGTCTCTTTGTGCTGATTGGGATAGTCTTATGCTGTAAGAGGGGTGGGGCTAGCTGTGCCAGTACTTGGTTTTTTTTACTGCATCTAATGTTAATTTCTTTATCCAATTTCCCATCTTCGGTAAATTCGGTAGTCACAGTTAATTGATTTAATTTTCTGCGTAATAAGAGCAGTGGTGGTATTGTTCGTGGCTGTGGCGGCGGCAACAGCTGCAATGGTATACGGATCTAATACCTTTGACTAAATAACATCTCCTAACATTCGAGCATTACTTTTAAAAATAATAGCGATGTTTACATCATGTTTCACAATACCACAAAGATAAACAATAAACTAAGCGTTACATAGGCTCTAATTATTTTCATTTTTAATAGTTTCACACTGCATAATAATGTTTATTTTTCTTATCAATACTTAACATGTCCCTGCTGTTCAATAGCAACCATACACACACACCCACACACACACACACACAAACAATAACAACAACAAAAACACATACGATAGAGCACTGCATTAGGAGTGACTATTAAATAACTTAAATCCACGTCTGGGTTCCGGGTCCCACTGTGTGGGGAAAAAGAATAGACCAACTGACCCTCCCCCACCTTCAACCCTTCCCCCTCAACAGTCATGTCTTCAAAGTCGACCATTTAAGAGTATTCCTTCAAAGTCGGTGCATATGACTGAAAGGTGAGGAACCAAAGGTCTGCACACAAAACAGCCAGATATGTGAATCGGATACACACGCAAAACTCAAGTTCTGGAATGAGACCAAAGTCCAGAAGTGGACGTCTCCGAGGAGTTCATAGATAACTACAAGAATTTTGTACAGAACGATGACAACTACAGGCAACTCACATCGTCTGGAAGATCTGTACCATTTCTATGTATTTCTGACCGAAATCCTCGCCTCAGCATAAGCTGGTCAGGATCGCCTAGACCGCCTCCCACACAAAAACGTGCCTTGTGTTTCCGTAACAGTTCAGGATTGGAGAAAGTCATGTTACACTCGTAACACCTCCAGTGCATGGCGGTCACATCCTCCATTGTAGATAGTAATCCAGACTAGCTGACTCAGACAAGTGAGGCTCTAAGTTTCTTCCTTGCTTTAGTTGTATTCCATCTTTCTCGATATTAATATCTGTTTGGAGAAAAATATATACACACTTATTTATGTATGTTTGTGTATATAATATATATGTGTGTGAGTGTGAGTGTGTGTGTACATATATGTGTATGTATGTGGTGTGTGTATGTATGTATGTATGTATGTATGTATGTATGTATGTATATATATATATATATATATATATATATATATATATATATATATATACACATATATACACACACACCATATATATATACACACATCCATTAACAATACGTATAATTATTATACAGATTATGAGGTGAACATGTTGTGCATACGATGGTATAGGATAGGCCAGGTCCGTCTGTAAAAATAGAGAAGGCCGTGGATAGGCCAACTTGGCATGAGTCTGTTCGGGCCTATGCTTCATCAGGGTACAAAGGGAAGAAGAAGAAAAAGCAGACGACGACGACGACGACGACGACGAAGAAGAAGAAGAAGAAGAAGAAGAAGAAGAAGAAGAAGAAGAAGAAGAAGAAGAAGAAGAAAAAGAAGATGAAGATCATATTATAGCCAAATAGCAGAGTTTACATAACAGTAATATACAGCTGGGAGAACGCTAAATTATATACATTATATAGACACAGTACCATGGATTGGATGGTCATATTTTGATTTAACAAAACTAGAGTTTCTCTATGGAATACACAATGTAAAAGAAGTACTGAATCTACGCCAGGAAGAGAATGACTTGAAATAATGGTGGTCATTAATACAAGAGAAAACCATTCGGATAAGGGTTAACTACATTAAAAAAATATACCGCAGCCATTCACATTTAGTTGAATAATTAATAGTATATACCGCAGTAAAGAATTAATTATAATTTTTTAAAATAAAATAAATATATTTTGAATAAAGTTTATTATAATATTATTATCACCAAATATTTCTACGTTCTTTATCGTAAACAACAGTACTAACCCACTATGAATATGTATTATTTCGTGTGACTTCCTTGATGATACTTACTCCTATGTGGAAGGTATCACAACTTATTATACAAAAATAACTTCCAAAAATGTGTCTCAGAAAACATTATCAAACATACATTCAACATAGATAAGATATGGTAACAGTTTGCATGCTACACCATGTACCTATGTCCTAGTCACATGACAAAAAGCTAACTCTCCATTGGCTGTTATCATGGCAACGTTTACAATATGTACGCCTGCCTGGCTTGTAAATACAGAACTCTACACGGGGGGATAACAGTTACAAATTTTCATATTACTTTATCAAATATGCATGAGTTACTTCCTCTGCTTTTAAATAGCACACAAATTCCTAATCCTGGTTACTCTCTACTAGAGGATTCTATAATGCTCTCCCCTCACTATCTTTTCCACCTCTGGACGACCACTGGGATAACAAGATCTCAGTATTAATATTAATAATAATAATAATATGGATGCAAGCCAACAGACCAAATACCCCTCACACCCACCCCACTTGGAGTGTGGTTGGAGGTGGGAGTGTGAGCCCTTAATATTTAAACTGGGGTAGGAAGGGTTGAAGTGGTCTGAGCCTCTCTCTCTCCCAACCTTTTGACTAGGTGGTGAGGAGGGCATGACAATTTATTATTCTTAATTTAAGGAATCGGAACCCTCCCCCCCCCCCCCCCCCCCCCCAAAAAAAAAAATTACCTAGAGAAATGTAAAGCCTTAAAGGCAGAGAGAATTTCTTCGTGGCGGTGCCTTTGATACACACACACAAATAAAGACGGTCATAATACAAGCAAACAACTGCGCAAATACCTTTGCTTAATAAAATACCACCTTTTCTCAATTTCCTTATTTTCAAGAATTCTTATAGATTTAAGTAGGTTTATACATGGTTTGTATGGCTCTGAAATTTGGAGCACAATTAAAAAGACGAATCCTTGCTGCAAATTTACGACGAATCTTTGGACCCATAAAAGACGCAAACAGCGGAGAATGGAGAATGAGAGGCAAAAACGAAATTCATAATCTGTTTAAATCACCATTGATCACTGGCATCATGAGGGCTAAAAGACTGAAATTGCCGGAGCATATGGGAAGAATGTCAGATGACAGAGAGGTGGAAACTGTATACACAAGGGAAATGAATGGTCACAGACCACGAGGCAGACCAAGAAGACAATGAAGCCATAACATCCAGGCATAATGACGAATCTCTGACACCAAAGATTGCGTGACATGGGAGTAAAGCCTGGTGAAAAACGTCTTTGCCGCCCTTGAGGCCGACATTATAACCAACTTTACATGGGAACAATTAGTAGAAATAACTTGGAGTGGCTGATGTATCGGAGGACTGAGCATGATTGCCCAAGTGCACGCGTAGATTGTAATAGTATGACGCGACAATTTAACAATATCCAAACAGACCTACCACCACTTGGTTATCACCAACTGGAAAGAGAAGGCCAACCAGAGAGATTAAGGGGTGCGAGTGATATTTGCAGCATGAACCTTAAGGGCTCGGATTGCCGAAGAAGATGGTAGATTTAATTCGATATTTTGTGAAGCCTACTTTAGAGTCTAACAGTTTTAATTAAATTGTTCACTCTATTTACATATTTTTATAAATAGCTACAGAAGGGCGTGATTGTTCATAGCCGATATTCCAGCAGATTTTTAGAACCGCTGATCTTGATCTCAAAACTATAATAAAAGAGACGAGATAATGAATTTATAAAAATCTTATTAATTTTTAATTATGTACCTTTTATAATTAGAAAATTGTGTTATTAAATAAAACATAAAGAAAATTATGTTGACTTATTTATTTTGTAACTATATTTGCTAATTAAAACGTTTTGTTCCGCATTATTTAATAATCTACCAAATAACAAGATGGAGGTGAGTGGTCTGTTCATGTTAGTTTACAGCTTACAGGGAATACGTGCCTCCATAGGGATTTCATTTCTGGGCAACACTAAAGTCTAGTTTTAGATTGTGCTATAACATAGAGAAAAAGAATTTGTGACTGATTTTAAAATGCCTTAAGAGGTTTGTTTCCTAACATATATATATTTAAGCTCCAGTCACTGTCACTGATCAGTTGGAAATCATCCGATTTCAGTCACACGAACAGGTGGATTAAAAAATCTGGAAGATTGTTGAGTGTATCATAATGGGCACGAAAGAATACGAACACTGTTATCTTAAGATCTGCATTCATTACAAGACAACTCACTAAAACCACAAGGAAAAGCATTTCTCTCATCTTTATGTTTGTCAATAGGAGAGGTTGATAGAGAGAGAGAGAGTGGTTAGAAACTACAAATCAACTTTGACTTTGAGAAAATTAAAATACAAGGCAAGAGTTGTAGTACTTGACAGGCAGAATAAACAACACAAGAGTATTTAAGAGTAAAGCAGAGGGGAGATAGAAGACAAGACAAGAGTTACACAGGCAGAGAGGGAAACAAGACAAGAGAGCCAGAGGGACCATACAGTGATACACAGCTGGAGAGGCAGAGTCTAAAAGACTACAAGAAAATAAGGCACGGATACAATACATAACAATGGAGGCAGAGAGAAAATATAAAGCAAAAGTTAAAATGGACAGGAACCATACAGGGAATTTGACAATGATTTGAATGATAACATGTTCTGTGAAGGTTATCAGTCCCATGAATTAAATTTTAAACATATCCTCAAGCTTATGTAGAACATGCCCCATGCCACAACCTTGTAATGTAAGGAACTTCCTTAACAAGGGACTGTCACAGTAGATAGTACCTACAAGTATTAATGATCAACAGCTTCTACGCTAGCCACCAGAGTCACAGGACCTTGCACCCTGTGTCTTTTTTAAATGGGGGATATGTAAAGGTAAAGGTGAGAAGATCAACCTTATTGCACCAGGTTTTATCCCATATGGCTGTCTGTCTCAGCAGAACAGCTAGCTACCTGCTGAGAGCATCACACAGAGCATGACCTCCATAGTTCCAGCGACGATCCTCAGGGATCTCAATAAAAATTGCATTCGTGAACTGAAGGGTGCTACCATGAAACGAACCCACCACCTTCCGTGCACGTGGCAAACAGCTTGACCACTTCGAAAAATTCTCCCAACGGAGGGCTTGAACCCACAACCCTGAGATTAAGTCTCTTGCTCTACCAACTGAGCTAGCCGAGCACATAAGACTGCCTGCAAACCATGCTTCCCCAGGAATGTGCATGAAATGCAAGATTCCATTACTACTGCAGTACAGACCATTATAACATACTGCTTCCTATATGGCAGGAGTTGGATTACTCTAAAAATGTTTATAGAGAAACAAAGGGCACTCATTTTGAACATTTATTTTTTGTGTGGGTTCCAGAGCCCCATTTTGGGGGGCAAGAAAGAATAGACCCACTGTCTCTCTTACGAGTATATCATACAAGATGACAAATAAGATGTTTGCTGAAATTGGATATGTTAGGCCCAGAGGTGTCTAGCTTTAAACCAGAACACAATGTGCCTAGCGTTCTTTTAAGTTTGAATGAAAAAGAAGAAAGGGCTAATGTTTGTTTCAGATCAGGCACTGAAATATAAGAAAAGATACTCATTGAAACTTGCACTGGCACTGGCCAAACATCCAGCCAGCTCGACCAGATTACAGCACCAGTGAACATGATCGTTTGGAGCAAAAACTTGATATGCTTGACTGACCAGTATCCAGGCTAAATGCTTTCCTTCTTTAGATTAATAGATAGCTAGTTGCCTTATGCAGTCCCCATAGCTGGAGCCTTGGTAACGCATGGGTGAATAATCAGATCTGAAGATGAATATTTGTGTCTGCTAGCCTTGTGTCTGAAGAGATTAAAATCTCCTGTGTGATATTTTTAAAGACAGCGGTTGATGCACATATACATGGTAGCCCACCTGAATTTTATTGATAGCATACATTTTCCCTCTGACTGGTAAGCTATAAACTTATGTTATTACAGTTGACGTCATTGCAAATGGGTATTCCCATGTGTGCATAGTCCTCCGATGCAGCAGCTTTTCCCATTGTCCCCATGAGAAGTTGGTTATAATGTCTTCTATCTCACCCTCGAAGGTGGCACAGACATGCTTTATTATGTTTTACTCTCAGGTCCCATAACTGGGTTATGATTTGTAGATTTGTCATTAGTCTAGTCCATACAATGTTGATGATATCCGCTATGTCCTTGATTCTTCCCACATGCGTTGGTGCGTTGCTTACCAGTTTATCTGGTGTATATTCCTATCCTAACTTTGACCCACACTTCACAGACCCATCTGTATAGAGTCTGATGTTTTCTGGACAGGAATACTGATTTGTCAGTTCTTTTTTTTTGGTGTCTTTGGCTGCAGGAATCTGATTCCATTTTGTCTGTGTGCATGTCCAAAAGCTATAAAATGAGCATGTTGTTTATACAGGGTTCGTAGTGGACCGGGAAATCGGGAAATTACCGGGATTTTTTTCGTTGACCTTGAACCGTGATTTTTAGCTTATAAAAGACATTCCGACCTTGAAAAACCGTGAATTTTGACCGCGGCAATAAAATAGTCAGAAATCCTGTGATTTTCAGCACAGGCAATTTTGGGGGAGCCATTTGGCTTTTTTGGCCATTTGGCTAGTTTTTGGCTACTTTCGTTGTATGGTCGTTTCAGATGTGAGGACAGCTGATTATTGGCTATTTTCAGCCGAAATGGCTTGTTAAAGGCCAGGGGAGGGCGGGCTGTGTTGCAGATCATGAATACATGCAGCCAGCAGCGGTGTGGCATGGGGCGGGAAGTAACAGATTCCGTCTGGCGTGTGTGTGTGTGTGTGCCTTTGTTTCTAGCAAGTCGGGCAGAATGAACAGTATAAATCGTTTATGGCCGTGGTTTCTAGAAAGGATTACATTGGGAGATGGTGGGGCTCGGTTCAGTTGTATTTATAAATAGAGTCGCCGTGGTGGGGGCTAAGCACGGTCTTCTCTATTAATTAGAGATGGCATTGGAGCTAAGCAAAGTGACTGCAGCTGGATTTCCCAGTTCTATTTTTGGCCTGGATTTATCTTTACAGTGTGTTTGGCGATCAGCATTGTAATTCCCCCAGATTCCCTCTTCTGTTGTCTCACCCCTCTCTCTCTCTTCCCTCCCTCTTTCACTCTTCTACCTATTGCTCCTTCCTTCCCGTCTCCTGCATTGTCTCTAACCCTCCCTTCTGATCTTCATCTTCTTCTCTTTCTCTCTATCTTTCCTTTTCTCTCATTTCCTGTCCCCCCTCCCCCTTTTTCCTATTTTATTTCTTGTTTAAATGTTTAGTATGGTAGTTTAGTAAATGTGCGGCTCCATAACTCTTCCTAGCAACTCAAGTACACAGGAAGTTGTATTGGGGGGGGGGGGGGCATTCTGTGTGAACATGGTGGATATTTTCTTTTGATGTGTTTGTTTTCCTAGCGGCCTTAATCTCTGTCCATCTCCCTTCCCGCCCCCTCACATTTTGTCCTACCTGTTCCTCAACTCTCTGCCTGTCTGTGTCACTGCTTTCCTCTCTCTCTTTCTCTTTGTATTTGCCACTCTCCCTCACTCCCTCCCTCTCTCTCTCTTTCTCTCTCTCTCTCTCTTTCTTTCTCCATACCTTCAGTTGGTGTAGAAGGTTATGTGTTGCCTAGTGCAGAACATTTCATGTCCACCATTCCCCCTTCCCACACATTAAATATATGTGTACTTTTTAAAAACACATTTGCCGTCCCCCCCCCCTTTTTTTTTTTTCTCCTCCCACATTGATGACACCTAGGGATGAAAAAAAGGGGGGGGGGGGGGGGTGACGGCAAATGTGTTTTTAAAAGTACACCCCTTCCTGCTACCTTCTTCCCTCTATATTTCATCTTATTTCTTACTCCCTTCTTTCTCTCCCTGTCTCATTCCCACTTTATTTTCTTAAACTTTATTCTCTCACCTCCTCTGTCTCACCCTTACCACCTCAGCCTTCTACACCACTTTCCACCACCTCCTCTCTCCCCTCCTTTCTGTAATTGGAAAACCAGAAATAAAACGAAGTCCACTGCAGCCCTGACCTATTTATGTGTGTGGGTAAACTTCTCTATTTTCCACCAGTGGTGGGTTGGGATCCCCTGGACTTTTTTTCTTCTTCATAAAATGACCTTGGCTCTCAGGTCACCAGCCTTAAGTATAAGAAATTGAACTATTGTTGTCACACACAGATAGGACAAGCAAGGGGCAGTAGGGGTTAGCACTGTTGTTTTTGGACCAGGCCACATTCACACTGGGAGAGGGTAGGAACCGGAAAAGTGGCCTCACTTAAAGATTTCCTAATTCTATTTTTGGCACTCATTGTTCTTACACACCCCCCCCCCCCCCCACAACCGTGTCTTACCTTTCTTCTCTCACCCCTTCTCTTTCCTTTGATCTTCTACTATTCTCCTTTCTCTCTCCATTCTTCCTCTCTTCCTTTCCTTGCCCTTTCTCCTGTCCCATCTCTTCTTTGTCTCCTCTCCATCCTGTCTTTTTATTTTCTCTAGATTTCCTTACCCGCTCCCCTCTCTCATTTTCTCTCCCCCCCCCCCCCCCCCATTTTTTAACTGGTTCATCTACGTATTTTTTTGCCCCATAACTATCTTTTCCTAGTGGTTGTGTCCACTACACTTGAAATTGTGTGTGTGGGGAGGCCTGTTTTTTTTTTCTTTGATGTATCTTGTCTCCCTTCCTGCCCCTCTCTCTTAATCTGTGTTTGTCACTGCCTTCTTTACCCACCTCTCTCTCTCTCTCTCTCTCTCTCTTGCTTTATGTCTGTTTGGCTCCCTTCATCACTTCCTCTTTGTATACCTCCCCCTCATTCTCCTGCTCTGCCTTTTTTCTCTTTCTTTGGTTCTCTCCCTCTGTCTGCTTGCCTCTCTGTGCTGTCCCTTTGTCTCTCTCTCCTTTATGTCTACATCTCTCTCTGCTTGCATCTGCTTCTCACCCTGTCCGTTCTGTCTCCCTTCTTTCAACTCTTTGTCATATTTTCCTCCTTCCATATCTCTGTTTCGTTCCCCTTTTCCTTCTCTTTTCATCTGCCCATCTCTGTATCTGCATTCCCTCTTTCTGTATTTGTCTCCCTCTCTGTCTGTCGCTGTCCCTTCCCCACTTTTCCTCATCATGTCTCCATCCCTCCCTCTCATTTTTTCCTCCTTCCCCAGACTTCTTTTCCTTCTTTTCTCTACCTTCATCTGTCCATCTTTACACTGTCTCTCCCAGCCTACCTCAGCATGTGTCTTCCTCTCTCTTCATGACTCTCTCTCTCTCCCCTAACCCTCTCAGGTACCAGGTCCAGAACAGACAGGACTTAAGTTTGCTGCCCTCTACCACCAAGCCCTAAAAAAAAATTTCAAACACTATATCAAGCTCAGGGGCTGACCGACACGAAGATGGGCACAGGATATAAGTGACTCCTTGAGTATAAAAAAGTACATGAGGCGGGAGAGCTGGTGAGAGACCAAGGTTTTTTTTGTCAGGACAAAGGAAATACTACATGATGATGATATCTGTGCTGGTATACCAACACATGTGGCACAAATGAAGTACCTTGTGTGCTCAGTACACCCTTGAACAAGGCAAAAATCTTGTTTCAGTATTACACCGAGACAACCTTGAAAAAAACTAAGGAGACCTTGAAAAAGACCTTGAAAAGCCTTGAAATTGATTGGTAAATTTGGCTATGAACCCTTGTTGTATTTGATGTTGTTGCACGCAGCTTCTAAGTCTCATAGAAAGTCTCTTCTTCTGCTACTACTCCTCCTTCTACTACTACTACTACTCTTTCTTTGTCTTCTCTTCCTCCTTCTCCTCTTCTCTTTCCTCTTCTTCTTCTTCTTCTTCTGCATTGGCTCGTTACAGGAGTTGGTCCATTATGTTGTGGCTTAGAGATAGGCTGCATGATCTGCACTTTTTGGCCAAACACATCCAGTTTCAACATGCTTGGTTGGGAACAGTGGATCTGTCTCTCCCTCCCCCCCCCCCCCCCCTACCCCACACACACATACACCTTTTTAGTGGGACACAAGGATCATAACTTTATGATTCTAAGGTTTGCATTTCAGTAACACAGAAAAATTAACTGATTGTAAGAAGGAAATTTAAGAGTTATAAAGATAGTGTTAATATTGAAGCAGTAGATGCACATGAACGTAAAGGACCCTTTTCCATGCCTTTAGACAAATAGGATCATATTTTATAGACCAGTCAGCACTTGGTGGGTGATGTTGTCAGCATCATGCTGGCCCCCTTTACCTCCCAGAGCTCCGCCTGGTACCTATTTAGGGCTGGGCCAACCTGGGAGCTAAGGTCATTTTTGAAAAAGTTGGCTTCATCAGCTTTTCAACCCAAGACCTTCGGATCTGCAGGCGAGCATCTAGCTACTACACCACAGCAGCTGCCAATAGATGCAAGAAAATAAAGTAATAATGATTTGAATTGTCATCCATTGTATTTCAGATTTCTGTGGTTGACTCCAAAACTGGAAAGCCTATTACGACTGTCAAGGGGGTAAGATTCTGTTTTGATATGTGATAATTTGAAAATAACTTATTAATCCACAACTTCCATAGTTCACATGTTTTAATCATAATTGCTTTAGGTGTCCACAGTTCTCTTCCCAGTGACACATAGGTTATAGAGGTAGATCATTGATGTATGACAAGCTAGATGTTGTGAGGGCCCTTTGGGAGTGAGTGAACAGTGTGCTTAGGCACAAATAGATCATTACGGTCTGAGGAGAATAGCGCTGCGAGAATTTATTAGGGCATTTGGCCAACACTCAAGGGAAAGGCTAGATGGATATACATTCAGACTGTTATTGGTGCCGTTGGAGTTGGAGATCTGTGCTTGTTGCTGAAGATGGTAACAGAGCGCTTATGGGAATGTCCCGAGCGCTGTGATGTCCATTCTTAATTCAACATTCATTTCTTTTTCTTTAACTCATGAGCCCAATTTTATAAACTGGCCATGCAGGATTTGCCAGGTCATATTTGTCAAATTTCTGGATCACATCAGATTTCTAGGTCACATTAAACAAATATCTGTGTCATATCAGATTTCTTGGTCACATCAGATTTATGGGTTACTCAGCTCATTTTCAGACCACACATGACATATTTTCCAATCACATCAAACTGACTCTTAACTCATATCAGATAGATTCCCATTAAAGTTAGTTGCGTATCCTTTTCATGATGTTACAGAACCAACTCCAGCATTTATTGACTGTTGTGGTTTTTCTAGGCAGATGTTACATTCAGTAGTTTGCCATAGCTTTCTGAACGGGCAGCTCTTGGTACCAGTGTCGAAACCAGTGCAAGACAAATCGTCCGCTGCAGAGATCGAACCTGGCGTTATGAAGTGCATACTACATAGATCCCTTTATCCTAACATATTTCTGTGTCATATCAGGCAATTCTGTATATGCTAACAGATTTCGAGTCATTGCACACAATTTCCCATATTCCAACATATTCCTAAATCATACCAAAGAAATCGCCATAACCCGACATTTTCTCATCATAACCAGACAAATTTCCATATCCCAGCATGTTTCCATGTCATTCCGGACATCTTGTTCTATCCCAACATACTCCCATATCAGACAGACGGATTTTTATATCCAAAAATATTCTCATGTTAAACCAGAGAAATTTTCAGATCCCAACATATTCCCATGTCATACCAGATTACCAGGTCGTATCAGATTGAAAAGTCACATCCGATTTACAGGTCATATACGATTCTTAGACAGATTCATCAATAGCAGATTCACTTCCAATGATTCGTCATGGGAAATAAAGTTGGTCTGTGTGATATCGACCACATGATCCATTTGGTCTGTAAAATCTAAATATAGCACCAAATGCTCTGATGCACCAGTGGCATGAAGAGAGTCTTGGCATTTTACTCTATTACCTTTTACTTCTTTCTGGAATATCAAAGCCTGTGCTTGTTAATCTTCCCAGTCGTACTCTTGTAATCTCCCCCACGTGGGTTTGGGGGCCCTGTTGTGGGGAGAACTAAAAAAGGCCCAGTGTCTCCCCAACAAGCATGTCGTAAGAGTCGACTAATTTACAAAGTCAGAGTGAGTCTGCCTGAAAGGCAAATTACGAACAGTGTGCATACAGAAAATGTCAGATCAGTAAAATGGATGTGCACGCAAACCTCAGATTCTGCTAGAAGACTATAAGTCCAGAGACTGAGGAACAACCAGAACTTCCTGCTGGAGTTTACGCGAAGAAGAAGAAGAAGATACACTAGTAATCTGTACACCAGTGTATCCTTCTCATATACCCCACCGGCTGTGTCACCTCAAATAACTAAATTCCTTCAATCTAAGTCCAGTTTTATCCAATACCATTCTGTAGTCAGATGTGTTTGTTGGCACCTTTCCATCCTTTCAGACAGAAATGTTATATTGTGCTTTAGGGAAGCATGAGAACCACAGCCAATGACTAGTGTGACTAGCAAGACCCGCTTCTATTCAGTCTTCCACTACAGTCAGAGCATGGCATTTCAGGCCCATTGTTGCCCAAGCATCTATTTAATATTCTTCTTCTCAGGCACTCCGCTGAGCTTATCTGCAATCATTTTCTCCTTTATCCCCATTGGTACTTGATGTCTGATTTCCTTCCTTCATGCAGCATGTTCCTCGACCTCTTGTTCCAGCTTGCACACATCTTTACATCGTAGTAGAGACCAACTTTGCCATCTTCTACCAATCAGTAATTAACCATAAAGGATAACCTTAGGGACTGCCATCCAGGAAAAATGTATGTTGTGGTATAGAAACAAGTTAGTAATGATCAGCTAAAAATGATCAGCCTCAAGAGGCAGGGCATCATCTTCTTCTGCCTTTAATTTCCTGAAGCCTCTCAAGCTCTGAATCAGCAGACACCAGGCTACCTCATTCTATAGAAACTAGCTGCAAAAATGTAACTAATCAGGAACAAGTCATAAAAAACACTTGTGTGAGTTGATTGAGGGCTTGTGCTAAATTGGAGGGTAAAAGATGGAAGAATAAGCCTGGTTTTTAGATAATTTATTATGATCCTCCTGTTGTGGTGCCAGCAGTCTGGTCCTCTGTTATTCTTTCAGTATTATGAATTTAACAGTCCTGCACCTTTGGCCACTCTCAGTAGTGTTTGATTTGTGATTTCTTTTCAATGTCCTCACGTCCATTTTTTTTCCTATTTCAGTGCCTGCTGAGTGATTTTCTGTCCTCTTCATCTCATAATACGTCTGATATATTGCCATCTTTTTTCTTATAACTGTTATACAAGCGGCTGTCCAGATGTTTCTCTTATTTATGTGCACCTTTGTGAATTGATCTTATTAATGTTCATCAGTTTCCTTAGGCATTTGTTTTTGAATACATGTCTTTAACTGTTCTCCAAACTTCAGTATTATTTGAAAAAGAAAAAAAAAAGGTAAAGGGCCCCTTTCACAACTTCAGGTGCATTGGGCATATACCTATATTTTATAGACCTAACGGCACTCGATGAGTGATGTGGTCAGCATCATAACGGCCACCTTTATTTTCAAGGACTGTAACTGTACCCATTTTAGGCTGGGTCAACCTGGGAGCCAAGGTCATTTAACAAACAAAAAAAGTCTGGCTCCGTCAAGACCCGAACCCACAACCTTCCAATCTGCAAGTTTCAGTTTTATATGCCAAAATACATTAGAAGCATTATAATGTTATCACTTATATATTATTATTCTTTGTGTGTGCAGATAGATAGATATCTAATATAATATAATTGTTTTTTGTGATCAGCTGTCATTAGACGCAACTATATCAGAGATCAAGAATGAAATTCACAAAGCCAGTAAGTATTTAATAACAGTATGTTAAACAATTTATTTATTAAATTGTAGCTTATGTGTATGTTGACAAGGAGGACACAGAATGCATTTATATTTCAAGAATGCATTCATATTTCAAATCAGTTTTAATTTGAATTATTTTTAGCCAAGAATTCTTGACATCCTTGTAACTTCACTCTGAGAAGATGTATATTTATTTATTTGTAGCACAGCTCTCTTCTTCGTGGCGTACGTTGATGTCACACCCATGTTCGTCTTTAGGTTTGCTACAGGAGGAGTCGATTGGAAGATTATAGACGAGGAGAAAGATGGTTGTGTCGATAGTGGCGATGATGATGATGATGTCTTGCTATCTGCATGCTTCTCACGTGACTCCGATGCTTGTATACAAAATGTCTGGAAACAACAGTTCTTGTCTATACTGTCTTTATTGTGATACTTCAGCAATGTTACAAACATCAATGATATTCTGAATAGCGCTGTGTTCTCTCTATGGCTAAATACTCGTAGGTTCGCGTTGTGTTCTTCCTATCTAGTTACACTGTAAACTGGTTCTAGTGTCTCTAACTGCCACCGGGCTTCTAGTGCTGTTTGGTACTAACGTCTTGATCGTTGACTCTAACATCTCTATAGTGTTCCTAATGTGTCTCTGTTGACCATGTATCTTGTGTGTCGTCTCTGTAGCTCGATGTCTTGTTACATGTCTGCTCTCCAGTGACTGTCTTCGAGGTTCAATATGTGACTGGTTCCTCTGCTTCCAGTGTTGAGCTGGCATCGCAGATCATTGAGATTAGTCGCTTGTCCTCTGAGTCTCAAAGACTGAAGGCTTCTAGTGTTGGGCTTACATCTCTACCACTGAAGGCTGCATTGAGAGTTCATGACTGGTCTCTCCTCTCTTGAGTCTTGTGGACTGAAGAATTGCTAAAGTGCTTTGATACTCGCTATTTATACTTGGATGCTGGAATGCTAGGTACTTGTTTTCTTCTCGCTTTGTCTGCTTCTAGAATATTCCAGTACACCTCAACTTGTTTACTAGGTAGGTTCTCACGTGGGATTTTCTAAAAATATCTCAATTTCATCATCCTATTCTACACAAATATGATAATTAAACTGACAATTGACGTCAATAGAAGCTTCTAGAAAAACAAGTGCAATTGCGTTTACTTTGATAGGGCACGATAACAAAGTATTTACTAGTATGACAGGGTTGGGTCACATGATGAAAAGAATGCATTTCAAAACTTCTAGAAAGAAGGCCAAGGCCAGACAATGACATCAAGTACTATTTATAGATTATTCATTTGCAAAACATTTCTCTGTTAATAACAAACGAAGTTTCTAGAAAAGAATGTCAAGGCTGCCAAAACTTGTTGATTTCCTTATATCCTCATAACTTTGTGCCTTCTAACAAATAAGCTATGACTTAATAACTCTGCTACATATTTATATTTATGTCATTTACGATAATTATGAAAGCCATGGTAATGCAGGGGCTAGACCCTATCCTGCTGACCTGAAGGTTATGTATTCAGATCCACATTAAAGCAGATTTATCTGATTGATCCAAAGCTCCATTGTCAGCACAATCTAATACGGGTATCAGGAGAATTGATATAAGGATAATACCCTGGGAAGTAAAGGTGTCCAGTGTGATATTTACCACCCCGATCATCAAGTGCCAGTTATTCTGTACAAATGTGGCACCATACGCACTCTGTACTGATGGATTATGGTCTTAAACCACATCACCTGATGAGTGCGTTCCAGTTAGTTGACAGATTATCCTCATTGTACGTCGAACCACTCAGTCCACAAGTGCTCGGATCTTCTCCTTAGTCATGTAGAGCAGTGGTTCCCCTTTGTTTGGGAAGCTGTGCCATGTACCCTACTTTTTAATAGTCATACTGAAACAACTATAATTTACAAATATTAGAATTGACCCCCTCCCCCCAAAAAAAATTTGCTTTCAGTTGAGTGTTTTTTTTTAATGGTCTGTCTTAGTTTTGTCTTGGAAGTATTTTGGGCCCTTTTAAATTCATCTCCAGATGCTGAGCCACCAACATGAGAACCACAAATGTAGAGAGTACCTGATCAGTGCATGTTTTTTGCATTATATAGGTAGCAACATAGGTACATAAGTGTTCACACCCCACGCCCCCCCCCCCCACCCCCGCCCAAATACAAGCTGTTCAGTACATGGCTCCTCGTGTGGGTTCTAGGACCCTATTGTCGGGAAACAAGAAGTGACTCATTGCCTCCCCAACAAGCATGTCATAAGAGTTGACTATTTAGGGGCATTCTTCGAAGTCAGTGTATCTGCCTGAGAGGCAAGGAGCCAGCAGTCTGCATACAAATAAGTCAGATCTGTAAAACGGATGTGCACAGATCACTCAGGTCCTGGAACAAGACTAAAGTCCAGAGATGGATGAACACTCAGAACTTTCTGCCGGAGTTTACAGCTGGTGAATGCGAAGAATTAGAAGTAGAATGAAGTACTTAGCAGTTTACTTTGTTGAGAATTTGTTATTGATTTCTACATGGTCAGCCACTTCTGATTTAGTTGTTAACATGCGTCTGCCATTATTTTCAGATCCCAAGTATTACCCGGAACGGCAGGGTCTTAAAACTGATCCAAGTGAGTTTACAGTGGTGTCACTTTTCTTGTATGGGTTCTGGGATCCTTTTTGGATGTGGGGATGGGGGGGGGGGTGGGGGAGAATAGACCTACCGCCCTCCTATCAAGCATGTCATAAAAAGGGGACACATTTTTGGATTTTTCCTCCGAAGTCGGAGCACATCTGCCTGAAAGGCAAGGAACAAAAAGTCACCATACAAATAAGCAGATATGCAAAATGGAGACACCAAAAATTCATGTTCTGGAACAAGACTTTAAGTCCAGCAAAAGGATGAACAAGAACCTTCCACCTGGGTTTACAACTGGCAAACATTAAGAAGAAGAAGAAGAAAAAAACAGCTTACTTGACCTAGTTATAAGGAATAATGTAATCTTGTACCAAAAATATTTCTCTTATTCCTTCTTTGCTTCCTTTTTATCACCTCAGGTTTTTGTGATTTATGCGCTTCTTTATCACCTCAGGTTTTTGTGATTTATGCGCCTCTTTATCACCTCAGGTTTTTGTGATTTATGCGCCTCTTTATCACCTCATTTTTTTGTGATTTATGCGCCTCTTTATCACCTCAGGTTTTTGTGATTTATGCGCCTCTTTATCACCTCAGGTTTTTGTGATTTATGCGCCTCTTTATCACCTCAAGTTTTTGCGAGTTATTCGCCTCTGGTTCTCACTGTTTTGGCTGTCAAAACCATAGACACTTGATATTGTATAATTTCTTTGATTTGTATCTGTTTTGTTGTAATTATTAGGTAGACTTAAAAAAAAGAGACAAATGTGATTTTTTTTGGGCATTACAGTAAAAACTTTGTGCACACACTGTTATGGTGACTCTGAGCATGAGGCATTATTCCTCAGACAATACAAATCCTTCTTGTGGATAACAGAACTTAAAAAAAAAAAGCAACATCTATGACTTAGTTGTGAAGTTTTTCTGCACATTCCTTACATCAGCATCATTATCATCAGGTAATTTGCCGACTGTCGTGCTTCTCCACAAACTGCGATCTTCAGTAACATTAAACATGTATGTTGTTTTTGTTTTTTAATCGATCCAGTGGCGCATGAGCTTTCACCCTTTGGCCCAATGCCATATAGTATAATTTACATGTTTTCTCAAGCTGTTCTTTTCCTCCGTACAAGGTGTTCCACTTGTCTGGTCTCAGAGGGAATAGCATTCTTCTAGTCTCGCTGAGTTTTGAGCACTCAAAGAGATGGTGTTCAACAGTTTCGTAGGGGTAGTTACATAGCTGGCACTCTGGGGAGTGTTGTGGCTGTATTCTGTTTAGATGTCCATTGAGTGGAGTATGTTGCGTTCTAAGTCTGAAGATGGTGGCCTGTTTCCTTCTTGTTAGATGGTTAATGCTGTCATTAGGATCAGGGCTAGCCATAGGTCTATAAACCTCTCTTCCTGTATCTCCCATGGCCCATCTGTTCAGACAAGTCTCTTTGTTTATAGCTCTTATAAGTGTTTTTGCTGTCTGTAGGGTTTTCACTATGGGTGATTGTTCTCGTGTTGCTCCTTTCTTTGCCAGTCTTTCAGCTGTGTCATAACCTGGTGTGCTGGAGTGGCCTGGAATCCACTGCATCAATATTCTGATGTTGTATGAGGTAATGAGCTAATCAGCATCCAGAATTATCTTGGCTATATCAGTTTCCGGCAACATATATCAGCTCATGTGTTGACACCCCTCTATGCTATGACAAAAGGCTGTCGAGAATCTTTTTTTGTTTTTTGTATTGTCTTCCTCTGTCTCATTTTCCACAGACCTTTTCAGTGATCACATGTTCCAGTTTCTTTCCTCTCATAACCATAAAATGACTGTCTCTTTCTGATGTTTATCTTCTTCTGCTGCGTTTGTCTGAAGATGTAATTGCATTGTGCCCGTTTGCAGCATGGCTGCAATATTTGGGCCTTTTGGCTGACACAGCCAATAGATGCTGGAGTTCGTTTTTGCAGGAACAGAAACAGAAAGAGGTGAGAACAGGCATGCTGAGTGCATAGTGGCATGTTCACTTTCAAGGTCATGGGAAAAGAGCATTGTCTGGATCTTTTCTCCGAGGTATGTTGGTAAATGAACAGGCAGACAGATTGGCTGGCTCTGGACAACTTGGTGGAATATTGTTGAATGATAAGGCAGACGGGCTCAAGGCTGTTATGGTAGCACATGTGCAATTCGAGTGAAGCAAATGTATAAACAGTCTGGTAAGAGAGATGCAGTGAATATTGACGAGGGAGCTGCCTGATACTCGATGTTCAGAGGAAAGTCAAGAAAGACATATAATCAAGACTGCTACTGGCACAGTTGGTACTGGAACTCTGCCCTGGCTGCTGAAGTTGAGGATGGAGTGCTTCTGGGAATGTCCCGGCGTTGTGAAGGGGCACGCAAGTAGCTTTAGACGCTGCAGATGGTTAAAAAAATTGTAGTACTACATTCTGTGTGTTTACTCTTACATTCCTATAAAAAGGGTTACAAACTTGACATGCAGGTCCGTCTTCCGTCCAGCCTCATAGCAGTCATCTTTCTTAGCAGTCATTTTTCATGGCAGTTATCTTTCTTAGCAGTCATTTTTCATGGCAGTCATCTTTCTTAGCAGTCATTTTTCATGGCAGTCATATTTCTTAGCAGTCATTTTTCATGGCAGTCATATTTCAAAGCAGTAATCTTTCATAGGAGTCAATTTTCATTGCAGTCATTTTTCATATCAGTTATCTTTCATAGCAGTCATCTTTCATAGGAGTCATCTTTAATATGAGTCAATTTTCATAGCAGTCATCTTTCATAGGAGTCATCTTTCATAGCAGTCATCTTTCATAGGAGTCATCTTTCATAGGAGTAATTTTTCATATCAGTTATCTTTCATAGCAGTCAGATGACTCATAGGAGTCATCTTTAAAATGAGTCATCTTTCATATGAGTCAATTTTCATAGAAGTAATTTTTCATATCAGTCATCTTTCATAGCAGTCATCTTTAATAGGAGTCATTTTTCATATGAGTCAATTTTCATAGAAGTAATTTTTTATATCAGTCATCTTTAATAGGAGTCATCTTTAATATGAGTCAATTTTCATAGCAGTCATCTTTCATAGCAGTCATCTTTCATAGCAGTCATCTTTCATAGCAGTCATCTTTCATAGGAGTCATCTTTCATAGGAGTCATCTTTCATATTAGTTATCTTTCATAGGAATCATCTTTCATGGCAGTCATCTTTCATAGGAGTCATCTTTCATATTAGTTATCTTTCATAGGAATCATCTTTCATGGCAGTCATCTTTCATAGCAGTCATCTTTCATAGCAGTCATCTTTCATAGCAGTCATCTTTCATAGGAGTCATCTTTCATAGCAGTCATCTTTCATAGGAGTTATCTTTCATAGGAATCATCTTTCATAGGAATCATCTTTCATGGCAGTCATCTTTCATAGCAGTAATCTTTCATAGCAGTCATCTTTCATAGGAGTCATCTTTCATATTAGTTATCTTTCATAGCAGTCATCTTTCATAGCAGTCATCTTTCATAGGAGTCATCTTTCATAGGAATCATCTTTCATGGCAGTCATCTTTCATGGCAGTCATCTCACATGGCAGTCATCTCACATGGCAGTCAACTTTAACCCAGCAGTTGTAATTTTTTGTCTTTTAAATACATCAAGCATATTAACTTTATGATTAGTTGTTCATCACGTGTAGCAGTCAACATGTCACACATAACTGTAGGTCTCAGTCAACATGTTACACATAAAACTGTAGGTCTCAAGTCAATGAACATTTCACACTATGTTTGCCTTCTCAGAGCGGTATAAACTCAGCTCCTATGAAAGTAAAATCTATGTCTTTGTTGTTGTTGTTTCTCTTTACTAGACAGCAGCTGTGATGTTATGAGATTGAAAGGGTTAACCTGTCAAGAAAAGAGCATGGCCTGGGGGAAAGAGGGGGGGGGGGGTGGAGGAGTTGGCCTCAGAAATACAGAAATTGCAATGGGCCATTGATTACAGCTCATTGATTATTCATGTTGAATTCCATAGTGCACAGCTGCCACTTCACTCACAAGTATTATATATGTGGCTTTATTAAATGGTCACACATGTTTGTTTTATCTGATTTCTTCCTCTGCCCTTTATCCCTCAATAGAGCATAGGCCCTCAACAAACTCATGCCAAAATGTCCTAACCTCTGCTTCTACATGTAACTTACCCCATGTCCTTCTCATCTATTTAACTATGCTGTCTAGCTACCTTCCCTAAATGTTTTTTGTTCTGCCTTTATTTCTATCAACCTGTGGGTTCCATTGCAAAGACATTCTAATTATAGTTTTTTTATTCTTCTGATTTGCAGGGGGCAGAATGCTCAAGGACACTGATACCTTGGAGAGCTTGGGCCTTTCTGCATCAGGCAAGCTGTTTTTCAAAGATTTAGGACCACAGATTGGATGGACGACGGTATGGAGAATGGGGTCATTGTGTTTTGATAAGTTTGTCTGTTAACATCATTTGATTTTTGTGCATTATGGAAATATCCTCAGAAACTGACATAGAGTAAACATTTGTCAGTCATCTGTCCTTTCTCCACCCTTCCCATTTAAAAAAAAAAGTTGATTAAAATGTCTATATCTGTATCCTCTTCATATTGCTGCTGACACGTAAGGCATTCACAAGGAATCTCCATATTTGCTGCTTTTCTGCCTCTGGTATCCCATGTCATTTTATGTTACTTCATTTCCTATCTACTGCCTCCTTTTTCCTTTAGCCATACGGCAGAGGGCAGTCTTTGCCAAAGTGTTACGAGGCATTTAAAGGAAGCAACCTGCCTGAGAAGTGAGGAACCAACAGTCTGCATACATATAAGCCAGATCTGTAAAATGGATGTACATGCAAAAACTCAGGCTCTAGTACAAGACCAGAGAAGTGGACAAACAACCAGAATTTTCTGCTGAAGTTTACTGCTGGTGAAGACAGAGGAAGAAAAAGAAGAAAAGATGAAATTATAGTCCAGCTTCCATTGATGAAACATTTCAAAAAGTGAAAGCACACACATATTTAAGTAGCAATGTAGACAAAGTTGTGCTTTATTTTTTATTTGCAACATTGTTTTTCTGTACATTTTCCCCGCCTAGTAATGTGTTTCTTTGAATCTCTTAATTGTCCTCGCCAGGTATTTTTGACAGAATATGCAGGACCTCTAGTTATATACTTAATCTTCTACTCACGACCTGCAATTATTTATGGAGCTGATGCATCGCTGAAACCATATGCTCCAGTTGTTCAGTAAGATATTTGTTTAAATTTGCTTCTGTTTAATGTTTTGTTTCTTCAGTGTCAGTTAACTGAAATATAGGTGCCACTTTAACATTAAGGTCTCCATACAGCATGAAACAACAAAGTCTGATAGATAAATACAGGCTTGGAAATCTTAGTTGACAGAATTAAAGATGCCTGTGTTATGCTTGATCAAAATGCACTTTCATTATCACTGGCATAAGAAAGCAAAATGTATATCATGGCTTGAGTGACACAGATATGTGAATATGTGTAAGACTTGACTGTTGCTTTCCACATTTCTTTCATAAGAATTAAGCCCTTTGTGAGGTAGTGAACAGCGAATCAACATCATGGCTCATGGGTAAGTACAGCAGAGCTGCCTCAGACAAACACTGAAATCAGAAACAAATGGATTGAGGAAACAAGGACGACTAAGAGACACCCCCGCCTTTTTTTTGGGTACTTTACTTTGCTTACTATGACTGTTATAGTGTTTAAGGTGGGCGTGCTCATTGTGTGAATGTGAATGAGTGTATATCATCATCATCATATGCCCTACAAGGCATGTCATGTGTCTCCACAGATCTTGATCCTTGGTATTTTGAATCGGTTCCACTGATGATATTCTTCCATGCCATCACTCTAGGTTTAGTTTCTCTTTTGTCTTTGTCTGCCTCTTGATCATCCCAGTTACCACGACTGTTCTCCAGAGCCTCTCTTCTCATTATATGACTGAAAAACACTGACTGTTTCTTTCTAATGGTTGTATTTAGTTTTCTAATTATTATCAGCCATTTGGAAGTAAGAGCATTGGTGACTTGATTATTTAATTAAACTCAGGCACATATAACCTTTTCTTGATGTCCTTGCTTTGTGCTTGTTGTTTAACAGAACGAGCAGATACTCAAAACAGTTGCCTAGATCCATTCACCCTCCTGAGCGTAGACTAAATCTTTTATGTATATGATTATAATACATTTAAAGAAAACAATTATCTCTGAAAGGATATTTTTCAAAATATACAATAGAATCTAATTGTAAAATATGATCTAATAAGCATTTTTGAGTTTTTATCGTTATTGTATTTGTGTCTCTGCTAATGTCTGCTGGGAGGGTTTTTTGCACTGATGGATAAAGACCTCTTGCTTGAGTGCATAAAATTGGCCTGAGTTGCTAGTTAAACTCAACAGATACCAAGAAACATTATGTGAAGTAATAGATGGCCAGTGATTGCATGCTGACTGATTTATAAAAATATCATTTTCCAAATATGTGTGGAAAGGGTAGTCTACTCTGACTTACTTTCTCCTCAGCATTGCAGCAGGTTGTTGGACCTTCCATTATGCCAAGCGTCTCCTGGAGACAATATTTGTTCACAGATTCTCCCACTCAACAATGCCTATCTTCAACATTATAAAGGTAGGAGACACTTTGCAATGCTGCCTAGTTTGTTATTACTGTCACAGATTCTTTTGTTCAACAGTGTCCATCTTCAGTATTATAAAAGGAGATGCAGAGGTGCTGAAGCACACATGGTGGACTAGGACGAGGGTTCATACTGGTTAGAACCTATCTTCACCTCTCCATGATCATCCACGACACAGGTTGCTAACTGGCCAATGCAGATAGGATCAATGTTACCTTCAGAGTCATTTTGCCTGAGAGGAGATAAACCAACAGTCTGCACACAAATAAGCCAGATGTGTAAAATGAATGTGGATGCACTACTGAAGTAGTGAATGAACAACCAGAACTTTTTGCCAGAGTTTACAGCCGATGAATGTGAGCAAGATTATAAAGGTGGGATACTTTTTCAATGTCTCAACTCATGGAGGTGAAGGCAATCACAGCAGCTTTCTGCTGGCTTGAAAACCAGCTGCACACATATGCCATGAAGGTAACAGACCCACAAAGCACGCTGAGAAAGGTGGAGACAGGCAATGAACGGGCAGAGAGATTGGTTGGTCCATGACAAGCTAGATATGGTCTAGGCCCTTTGGGAGCAAGTGAACAGTGCGCAAAAATAACAAACACAAATAAATTATTACTGACTGAAGAGAATGTTACAGCGAGGAATGACCAGAGGATGTGGCTGACACTCAACACAGGGGAAAGGCTAAACAGACATACAGTAAGAACTGGAATTCTTTGCTGGCTGCTGAAGATGGGGATGGAACACCTATGGAAATGTCACAAGTTTTTGTTTTAGTTTTTGTTATTGACTCTGAAAAAAGGTACCAATAAAAAGGTTAAAGAATATGTTATAACGGATGCACAGTGGCAGGCTGTATTAGTATTCTCTGCGTGCGTTTCATGACCCCATTGTGCGGCCTCACCAAATTTGTGCTTTTGCACAGTTCACATGTTCCCAAAGGGCCTCCCCAGAAAGCATGTCGTAAGAGCCGACTCACTGGGAACTTTCTTTAAAGTCAGAGTGCATCTGCCTGAGAGGCAAGGAACCATCAGTCTGCATACAAATAAGTCAGGTCTATATAACCAAGGTGCATGGAACAGGACTAACGTTTAGAGGTAGACGAACAACCAGAATTTTTCGCCGGAGTTTACTGCCGGTGAACGCAAAGAGGAAGAAGAATTAGTATGAATATATGTTTCTTTTGCATTTTTGAGATACTTTACTTTTGTTGTTGTTGATGTTTACAGAATTCCAATTACTACTGGGGATTTGCTGCCTTTATTGCATACTTCATAAACCATCCTCTGTACACGCCACCCAGTGAGTATGCCTATTGACATTTTCCATCTAGTCAAAAACAAAACAAAAATTAAAGCTAGAAGATATACCTACAGACTTGTTAATTATTTCTGTCATCAGTATGAGTTTCAATCCTGAGGCATTAGTTTACCTAGGTCTGTAGGTGACCAGGTCCTGTCTTCACTATATGTGACAAGGGCTCACAGTCTGTTCCTCCATTCTGTTCTGTCCTGTGCATGGAAGAAATCCAGCCTGCACTTTTGGCCTCTCTCAGCAAAGTTCATATTAGGGTTTCATTTGGATGTCCTTGTTTCCTCAGTCCCTTTTTCCCATTTTAATGCCTGTTTGGTGATTCTGTGCTCTTGTTTTCTCAGGATATGACCATATAGAGCTGTTTTTTTGTGTCTTATAATTGTTGTTGTTAGCATAGGTTGCCCAGAAGTTTCTCTTATTTCTCTCTCTTATTCTACCCCACCAGGACATCAAACAAGTGATAAACACCCGGTGACTCAAAGTGCCACCATGTGGATGAGGATCACCTTTGGAGAGGTCCCGGAAACCCTGTTCAGCCATTAAGCCACATTTATGGCCCAGCTATATTTAGGGCCCCTTGCAGAAGCCGAGTGGGGGCTTTAAAATTACAAGAAATTTCATCTCGCAAGAGATGTCTTAGTCATGATGTCTCTTATTTCTTCACGTCTCTTGAGTTCATCCCATTTTATGTTAGCGTATTTCTGTAACCGTAATTAACATAAGCAGAAAAAGATGTTACATTATGTAAGAGTGCTGGCTGGCCGAGTGGTTAGATTTCATGGATACTCATGCAGGAGATCTGGAATTGAATTCACAGTTATGTTGATAGATGTCTTTTTCTGCCTAAGGCAGACACAAATAAACATCCTTACCTGCACTGCACAGTTCACGGCAACTGCACTAGCACTGGATCTTCAGACTCAAGACCCCTGTATCTTCTTCTTGTTCTTGACTTTAAAAAAAAAAACTACTTCAGATGTTGAGGGAGATATAAGGTTCCTCTTCTTGCTCTTCTGGCTGCCTCAGCCATAGACACATCTTGCTGTTGCCAACTTTTCTCTTATGATCTCATTTCTTATTTTATCTCATCTGGTCACTCCTGCAACCCTTCTCAGTCATCTCATTTCCATTGCTACTTATTTTCTTACTCTGCCCTAAAGAGTGGTAAATACTGGCAGGAAAGCTACATATGTGGTACAGAGCCTCTGTGGCCAGAATACTTGCCTGCCAGCTGAGTGGTCATAGGTTCAAGTCCTCACTGAAACTGATTCATTATATTGACCTTGATTTATTCAAAATGGTTACCAGGGAATATCCTGGGAAGTAAAAGTGGCCAACATGATATTCATTTGTCCTACCAAATACCATAAACCTCATGGTATAGAAATGTGACCTTTTTTCTTTATGTAAAGTATATAGTGCATCGGGGGCCATATTAGTGCAGTCAATAGGAGACTTGCTTTCAAATCCAGCTGCGACTCGCTGCAGACCACTGCTGGTGTTTGAAACCGGGCGGTTCCCGGGGTTCACCCAGCCTCTAGGTAATGTGTACCAGAGTTAACACTCTGGGGTAAATGGAGGAACGTCGCTGTAGCTACGGAGTTGCATGCGAATCGCGACACAGGTGGACAGTTTCTTATCAGCTGTCCGTTCTGGTGGCAGAGCACTACCCGTGTGCAATGACACCTGTTAACATCTCCCGTCTTTACCTTTACTTTTTATATAGTAAAAATGTTTAAAATAATCTTGCTGATTGTTTATTTGCTTTCAAGTGTTTGGAAAGAAACAAATCTATGGTGCACTGGCTATATTTCTTGTAAGTATAGTTCATTTTTCAGTTTGTTTTTATTTTAACGAATTTGCTACCTGGCTAGTCCTTGATATGATTATTTTAGTTCACAAAAATTACACAAATTTTTTTGTCAGTTTCATTCACTAAAAAAACCCCCCCAAAACCGGTCACTACTGTCTGTACCACTTTTTAGGGCGGGGTAGACAGGATGTTGCCTGCGTAAGGATTTAGGGCGGCATCTCTGGTGCTGTTGCCACAGACTGTGCAGGTTAGATGAAAAATCCTGAGGTAATTTAACAAACAAAAAAAAGAGAAAAAAAGGGGAAAGACTGCTAATCAATGCGCATCTGTTCACTGTAGCGCGGAACCAAAAAACGTTATCACAGGTTTAAACACAATATTCTCAACTTGATTAACATTTGCCAAGTCTTATATAGTATGGGTTGTGCATTGGTTCCTGAGCGGGGCTCATAGTTTTTAAAAAATTTTTGCACGTAGTTCTTACTTTTTACACTCTCACAAGATCAATATTTTAGTTTATTTTGGCAATTTTAACTGTTTTTTTTAAATTCTTTTCTGTCCTTAGTATGTTTTCAGTGGTTCTAAAAATATGGTTCGTGATTCCTTTGGGGGTCAAATGACCCTTTCACAGCGGCGGCCTAAGACCATTGAAAAGGATATATTCACTGAAATTATGAAGTAGCAACGAAAATAATTGTATGGTTGGGGGTCACCACAACACGAGGAACTGAATTAAAAGGTCACAGCACCAGGAAGGTTGAGAAACGCTGGTCTCTTTTAGACTTGGACATTCCTTTTGAAACATGTCAGGAGTCTTATGATATTGACTAGATGTTGGTTGGTTGCTAAATGTTTTGAAGGAGTGAACTGGTGATTAGTGTTCAGGTAATCTGAACGCTGAAAAGGTGTTGGGTCTACCAGTTTTGGAAAGCTTTTTTTCCTGACCCAGTGTGGGGACTGTGATGTAGAGTTCCTCTCCCCCCTCTGCTTTCTTGCAATAAATCTTGTGAACCTAATTTTGCTTGAATCCCCAGATATTTATTATCCCTTGTAAAACAGTAATAAAAGTAAAGATTCCTTTTCACGCCTTTAAGTGCATTGGGTATATGGAAAGTGCACCCATATTTTGTACATACCAATGGTCACTAGTTGGGTAATGTGGTCAGCATTATTCCGGCTGTTTACCTGTCCAGGACACACATCCTAGAACCCATTTTACGCTAGGCTGACCTGTAACGCCCCATACCGCGATAAAAATCCATGCAGTCAGTAGTGGGTTTCGCAATGCCTAAGCCACAGACGCCACTGTAAAACAGTAATGATTATTTAAAAAAAAAAAAAATAGCACAACAATAATGACCTAATAAGTGAAATGAACATTCTTCATTTTTACAGCAAGCAGAGCTTGGTAATTTCTCCATCCACTTGGCTTTGAGGAACTTGAGACCACCAGGTACAGATTGTAAATGTGTGCTATTTCCACTGTTTCTCCACCAGTTTTTTCTGTGTCTATCCCTCCCAGTTTATCTTCCACCCTCCCTCTGTCTGTCTCTTCCCTTCCCTCTGTCTTTCCTCCACCTTTTTCATGTGAAATTAAATTCATTAGATGCTGACTGAGCAGTAACACTCTCCAGCAGTGACAAAGGAGCACCATTAAATATTTTATGTAACACTCTTTGCCAGACACAAAGGGGCACATATTTTATGTAACACTCTTTGCCAGACACAAAGGGGCACATATTTTATGTAACACTCTTTGCCAGACACAAAGGGGCACATATTTTATGTAACACTCTTTGCCAGACACAAAGGAGCACCATTAAACATTTTATGTAACACTCTTCTCATGGCACAAAGGAGCACATATCTTATGTAACATTCTTCGCCAGGCACAAAAGAGCACCATTAAATATTTTATGTAACACTCTTCACCAGGCGCAAAGAAGCACCATTAAATATTTTATGTAACACTCTGCGCCAGGCACACAGGAGCACATATTTTATGTAACACTCTTTGCCAGGCACAAAGGAGCACATATAGTATGTAACACTCTTCGCCAGGCACAAAAGAGCACCATGAAATATTTATGTAACACTCTTTGCCTGACACAAAGGGGCACACATTTTATGTAACACTCTTCCCCAGACACAAAGGAGCACATATTTTTTGTAACACTCTTCCCCAGGCACAAAGAAGCACATATTTTATGTAACACTCTTGGCCAGGCACAAAGGAGCACCATTTTATATTTTATGTAACTCTCTCCAACAGACACAAAGGAGCACCATTATATATTTGATGAAACATTTTCCAACAGACACAAAGGAGCACCATTATATATTTGATGTAACATTTTCCAACAGACACAAAGGAGCACCATTATATATTTGATGTAACATTTTCCAACAGACACAAAGGAGCACCATTAAATATTTTATGTAACACTCTTTGCCAGGCACAAAGGAGCGTCGTATTCCCCAACCAGGGAGCAACCCCTTCACATGGCTGTTCTCTCTGGTCTCCTGCCCCAACTACACGTACGAGGTGTTGGCCTGGTTTAGTTTCTCTGTGATGACCCAGTCATTGCCAGGTAAATCTTTACCACTGCACATGCTGCTATGGTCTCCGAGATTAGAAAATAGCTTGTGAATAATTACCATTATCATCATCATACTATGTTATGCTGTTTATACATGATGTAAGGCTCACAGTCACCTTTTTCTGTGAGTTTCTACAACAGATTTATCTTAGAGTTGGGAGGGGGAGGGGGGCTATGCCCAACCCCCCTCCTTTCTAATCCAGGCTTGGGACCAGCAGCAGCAGAGTATAGAAATGAAAGCTAATTGCATTTCCTTTACAAGACGATACAGATCCAAACCCTAGCATTTGTTGGCTGTTTGTGATTTTACTAGGCAAATTTACATTCCGTAGTTTCCCATTGCTATCTGAATGGTGAGGGCTCCATTGTCAAAATCAGTGCAAAGAGATCTGCTGCTAAATCATCTGCAGTTAGAATTGAACTAGGTATTTCAGAATTATGAAACAATAGAAATAGGTGAATATGTAATAGATTCGATTGTAAGAATGCTGAACTGAATAGAGTGCTGAAAGTAAACAGGTTTAAAGAAGGATGGGAAAAAAAAGAAAAGAAAATCAAAGCATGTGTAATAAAGAAATTATGGTATATAATGGGTAAAGAGCTCTTTTTTTTAAAATACCATAAGGTGTATGATCTTTTGCCTTTCATCTCACAGTGGAGCACAGCTCCTCAACTATCATCTCATCCGCTAGGTAAAATGGCATATGTGGGTTTTGGGGCGGCATTTTGGGGGTAAACAATCATAGACCCACTACCCCCAACAAACAAGTTGTAAAGGGCAACTAATTAGGGGTGTTACTTTTGTAGTCAGAGTGAATCTGCCTGAGAGGTGATGAGCCGACAGCTTGCATACAAATAATTCAGATATGCATGCAAAACTCAAATTGTGGAACAAGACCAAAGTCTAGAAGTGGGCGAACAACCAGAACTGAGTTGACAGTTGGTGAATGCAAAGAAGAAGAAAAAGAAGTCTTCTCATTTGTATAATCCTGTTTACTTTAACACGGTAGTGTTAATTTTGAGCAGAAATGCTATAGAAAGATTCTCAGAATACCATGGACCAAGAACAAGAAAAATACTGACATCCTCAAATATCCAAACACCAAGGTAGACTGGTTAGGAAACTGAAATATTTTGGCTACATGAAGCACCACGATGCATTTGCAAGGATAATACCAGAGTGCATGGTGCCAAGGAGGCTATAAGTGACACCACCTTGGGTAGGAAAGTGCGCAAGGCGGGAGATCCAACCAGAGACCGAGTTTCTTTCAGGCAGGCTGTGATGAGAGTGACGTTCTGCATAAGACCTGCTACATGATGATGAGCACTGGTAGTTTGGTAGTCTTCCTGCCACTTGAATAATCATGTTTGTTTTTTGTTTCCAACAGCTGCCCTCTTCGCCCTGGCTGGTTTCTATCAGATGTCTGTATGGGCCAAAGGCAAGCACCAGAATTACGTCAAGGAGTTTAAAAACTACCCACGTTCTAGAAAGGCGATCATTCCGTTCTTGTTGTAGATCACTTAAATTTCTTTTATACATTACAGCAGATGTAGTAACGTTTTTTTAAAAAAATACCTTGTGTGTGAGAGCAGTTTTCATTGTTGTGTCAGTTCAGTTCTAGCATTTAAAGTGCATGAGTGAGTGTGTTAATTGTTCCCTTATCAGTTGTTGGTACTGTTTCAACTCTTGATTAATCTACATCTCAAGTTGTGACATAATTATTTCTGACCTGTGTCTAGTTTAGGAAGAGATTAGCTAGTCTTTAGTCATGCCCCGAGAAGGAGAAAACTGGAATACATTGTGACGGTGGAAAAGTTGGAGGGAAGCAGAGGGAAACCGAGAGAGAAGATGTTGGACAGTGTAACATCATGGCATTGAAGAATTAAAAAGTAGAATCACAGTTGACAAAGTTACCAGGTGCTTGTCGTTTCTGGTTGCTACTTTTGTCATTTTGAAGAGGACCATATTGCCAGCTGTAAGTCTTAGAGTGGGCTTGCAGGTGGCCAGTGAGGACCAGTCTGAGCCTGAAAATGTCTTACAAGAGCAGAGGCTTGTTGATGAGGTAGGTTTTTATTGAATGTGTATTATTTTACTTTGGTCATGCGATGAGAAGGGGAAAACTGGAATACATTGTGACAGTAGGAAAGTTGGAGGGGGAGGAGAGGCAGAGGGAGACTGAGAGGAAAAATGCTGGACAGTTTGACATCATCGTATGGAGAATCATCTGTGTCAGCTTTGATTGAAAGTACACAAGACAGAAGGTTGTGGATAACGTTGCTTTCCAACGCCACAGGGCATGGACTTTAAGAAGAAGCATTATTTTCAAATATTTTGTGGTTAATTTTGTTTGTGAGGAGTGAGGTTTTGTGTTGAAGAAGATTAAAAATTGTTTGTGACATTTTATGTTGTGTTAAAGAAGTATTGAAGATTGGGAGGTTTTGTGTTAAGGAAATGTTAAAGACGAGTCATTCCAAGCAGCAAATAACGACTTTGGTCTGAGTCACCTGCCTGCAACCTTTTTCTTTATCATTGAACTAAAGCCAATAATTGTTGCTCATCATTCTCGTGGCAGGATCCACCACATTCACTTCCATTTCTTAGAGAGACAGCAGTAATCTGGGATCAGGGCCACTTCTGTTATATCATTATAGAATTTTATTTTATAACAATATAGTTATCTACTAAAAGCTTTAAATATGACTGCTGGACTTTATGAATAAAAAACGCTTTATCACAAAACACTTTAAAAACCATACTGGAGGGAAACTTCAAAGACAAGAAAGCAAGAGGCAGACAATACAAGTGAGAGGACAACAAGAAAAGGGCCAACAGCAGTCTGAGAGAGTGTACAACAAGACAAGAGATGGAGAGTGTTGGAGATGCATTGCAGCCAAACTTTATTGTGGAGATGGCAACTGATTGATTGATACCGCTGCAGGCATACAGTCTGAGGTTGTATGATACAAGTCACTTGCCTCACTGCAATGAAACTGAGACGGCCATCCGTTGTTTGCTGTTTCAGCAGTAGAGAAACTAAGTGTTGTTTGATACATGTAACATGTGTTTTAGAAATCTTTACTCTTACATTTGTCCAGAAAAAGTATTACATATTTTTTCTCCCTGTTTGGAAGATATAAAAGAAAGATATTAACAGTTATATAGCATCAAGTTTAAAACAAAATTGCACTCATTATCATCATTTACCAGGAGCTTAATCGAATGCTGCTCTAATGATGGCCTGCCAGAAAGAAAGACTTTGATTTTTCCCTTACCTCATTTTCATGCTTAAAGTGTCTTTAATTTCTCCATCTTTTTTTACACCCACCTCTTCGGGTGCTATAACTTCTATTACTGTTATTTCTCAAAAATATGACCAAATCTATTTCAGCTTCCAAGGCATAATACTGTTTAAAAATTTCTTTTAAATGAAAACTAGTTCATGTTTTTATATCACATGTTCAGATCTTGTAGAAAGTCATATTTCACTGAAATTTGTTGTTGTAAAAAGGACATATGCTGTTCACCAATTTACATTAAAAAAAAAAAGTCTTATTTTTTGAAGTCACTGCTTTTATACTCCATTCAGTTTATATGGTCTTATGTATGTCCTGATATGTATCTGTAAACTTAGTTCTAGGTCTTGCTTTTATTCATTATGAAGGTGAATAGGAAAATCCAGACATGGTATTTCTTCTTTAGTTGCTAAAAAAAAAAATGACCTACAGCACTTCAAATTGACTGAGCGTTATAGAATGTGTGAGATGAATAATCTATAATGTGAACAAGATTGAGTTAAGAACTGATTCACAGCAGTTGGGACATTCCCACAAGCGCTTCGCCCCCCCCCCCCCCATCTTTAGCAGCCAGTGCATATGTGAGCGAAATATAGTTTGAGCAACTTCAGCAGGACAGAAAAATATGCATCACAGACAATTAGAGACTTGTATATGTTATGTGTCACAGACAATTAGAGATATGTATATGTTATGTGTCACAGACAATTAGAGACATGTATATGTTATGTGTCACAGACAATTAGAGATATGTATATGTTATGTGTCACAGACAATTAGAGATATGCATATGTTATGTGTCACAGACAATAAGAGATATGCATATGTCATGTGTCACAGACAATTAGAGATATGTATATGTTATGTGTCACAGACAATTAGAGATATGTATATGTTATGTGTCACAGACAATTAGAGACATGTATATGTTATGTGTCACAGACAATTAGAGACATGTATATGTTATGTGTCACAGACAATTAGAGACATGTATATGTTATGTGTCACAGACAATTAGAGACATGTATATGTTATGTGTCACAGACAATTAGAGACATGTATATGTTATGTGACACAGACAATTAGAGACATGTATATGTTATGTGTCACAGACAATTAGAGACATGTATATGTTATGTGTCACAGACAATTAGAGACATGTATATGTTATGTGTCACAGACAATTAGAGACATGTATATGTTATGTGTCACAGACAATTAGAGACATGTATATGTTATGTGTCACAGACAATTAGAGATATGTATATGTTATGTGTCACAGACAATTAGAGACATGTATATGTTACATGTCACAGACAATTAGAGACATGTATATGTTACGTGTCACAGACAATTAGAGATATGTAAATGTTATGTGTCACAGACAATTAGAGATATGTATATGTTATGTGTCACAGACAATTAGGGATATGAATATGTTATGTGTCACAGACAATTAGAGATATGTATATGTTATGTGTCACAGACAATTAGAGACATGTATATGTTATGTGTCACAATTAGAGATATGTATACGTATTACAGCAAATTAGAGACGTATGTGTATCCCAGCAAATTAGAGACACATACGTGTATCACAGCAAATTAGAGACATGCTATTTAAATTTCTGAATTCGTTGAAATTGATATGGAGTGCAAAATAAAACACATTTTTTTGAAAGAATTCACAAATTTATTGGTCACAAACACACATAAATTAAAAGACTGCATAAATAATAAACTGGAAGTGCTAACCATGAAGAGCACTTGACTTATGATGCTTCTGAATGCATTTGCTTCATTACTGCCCCCTTCTGTAGGTTTTGGGCCATTTCTGTACATATCCGCAGTTACCTTTGCATAACACACGGAGTGCAGGATTTAAAAAAAAAAAATTGCAGTACAAACATTTAATTTTTTTTTTAGTCTTCTTCACTTCTTTACCGCTTCGGGCGTCAAGGGAGATATAAGGTTCTTGCTTCTTGTTCTTCTGGTCGCCTTGATTACAGACACATCATCCAGTTGCAGAGTTTATCTGATGTTATCTTTCAATATGTTTCCCGGTCTACCTCCTGCTCTAGATAATTTCTTTTTTTTTTAGTAAAAGCCTTGTACGAATGTTTTAAGTAAAAGATTATTGAAGCAGTTGTTACGTTTATCAGTTTTACTATTACGCAGAGGCAGAGCTATTGTGTTGATGAAATAAAAGTTTGAAATCTTTGAACTGTGTCCTGACTTTTGCATTTAAAATAAAATAGTTTATGAGGGCAGAAACCTGTATAAATGTTTACTATACATTCACTGTCAGTAAAAAAGATGACATGACAACACAGACATATGTTCAGAAAGGCAGATTCATTTCATTTAATAATACTTTCTCGGCATGAATTTTCACGGTCGTCAAAAGTCATATACACTGAATGACGTTTTAGAAAATGACTTGATAGACATGTTCAGGAAGTCAAAACTACTTCATAATTTATGTCGAAGCATGAGTTTTCTGGTCACCACAAAGTCAGAAATGTTAAATGAAATAAAAATTGACAAAATACTTTACACATAGTTTCCCAAAGTCAGAATCAGCTCATAATTTTATTCACAACATGAATTTCCTGGTCATTGTCAAGTCAAAAGTCAAATATGTGGAATGAGCCTACTATGATATATATGTGTGTGTGTGTGTGCGCGCGCGCGCGCGCGCGCGCGCGCGCGCTGCGCGCGCGCGACACACACACACACACACACACACACACACACACACACACACACACACACACACACACACACACACACACACACACACACACACACACACACACACACACACACACACACACACACACACACACACACACACACACACACACACACACACACACACACACACACATATATATGTATATATTTACACATATACATATACATACACCCACATATATAAATATATAATAGCACAGCATGATGATGATGATAGTAATGATTAGGTTGTTGTGGGACCATAAATTCCACAGGTCACTACAACCTGAAAATATGTACGATTTCTTCATTTCCTCTTTTACTGCTCCTGGTGTAGAGGGATATATATATATATATATATATATATAAGGTTCTGCTTCTGGAAGAACTGACCATAAGCTGTGTATGAGTTACTATATCAAATGTTACATAACATATAAAAACAGTTGTATAGATCCACATAAAAATATTGTAAATGTAGATTATATAAGATGCACCCCTTTCTTCTGCTGCCATCCTTCTCCCAGGGGATCATAGGCCCTCAACCAACTCATGCTGTCGTTCTATCCTTCACTATTTTCCTCAGCTCACCACATCTTCTCCCCATATTTTTAACGCTTTGGGTCCCAAGGAACGCATCATACGTTCATAGGTTCCTACCTAGAAGCCCAATGAACGCTGATTTTATGTCTCCCTTCACTACCCCTTGGGCCTGTGATGCTAAACCCCCTGGGACTTTTTAACTCCATGTGTTCTTTATTGTCTGTCTTTATTGATATGCCCCTGTGGATTCCAAGGCAAAGACAGTACAGTCATTTTCTTGAAAGTGTATACACATAAATGCACATGTTTGTTTGTGAACGACTTTGCTGATTCTCTGCAATGTTTAGAGAAAATCAACATGTTGTGGTATTTGCATTTGACTCTTTCCTGTGTCCTGGTGATTGTGTTCTTATAAAAACCAATTTTTCTTTGTCCCAGGTTTTGTGTTCTTATAAATATAACCCAGACTATTCTAAATGTCAGAATATCACCTTCAATATGTCTTAATGTCATAATATCATCTGCAACATGTCTGAGTGTCATATCACCTGCAACATGTCTAAATGTCACAATATCACCTGCACTATGTCTAAATGTCACAATATCACCTGCACAATGTCTAAATGTCACAATATCACCTGCACTATGTCTAAATGTCACAATATCACCTGCACTATGTCTAAATGTCACAATATCACCTGCAACATGTCTAAATGTCACAATATCACCTGCACTATGTCTAAATGTCACATCATCACCTGCAACATGTCTAAATGTCACAATATCACTTGCAATCTGTCTAAATGTCACATTAACAGTCAGGTTACGTCTAAATGTCACAGTATTACCCAGGGCATGTCTTACAATGTCACAGTATAACCCAGGATATTCTAAATGTTACAGTATCACCTGCAATATGTATGAATGTCACAGTATCACGCAGAATATGTCTAAATGTCACATTATAACACAGGATATTTTAAATTTCATAGTATGACATGCAATATGTCTAAATGTCACAGTATCACCTGAAATATGTCTATTTGTCACACACACTCAAAAACAGTATATGTCTAAATGTCAAACAGAATATTTCTAAATGTGACAGTATCATCTGCAATATGTCTAAGTGTCACAATATCACCTAGAATCTATCTAAATGTTAAAGTATCACTCAGGAAATATCTTAATGTCACAGTGTCACCCAGAATATGTCTAAATGTCATGGGTAGCACCCATAATGTCTACATGTTACAGTATCATTCACAATATCTCAAATGTCACAGTACCACCCAGAATATGTCTAAATATCACAAAGGATACGTTGTCTAAATATCGCAATTTCACAATATTGTGGCTAAATATCACAGTATCACCCAGAATATGTCTAAATATCACAAAGGATATGCTGTCTGAATATCGCAATTTCACAACAATGTGGCTAAATATCACAGTATCACCCAGAATATGTCTAAATATCACAAAGGATATGCTGTCTAAATATCGCAATTTCACAACAATGTGGCTAAATATCACAGTATCACCCAGACTGTCCAAATATCACTATCACTTGCAATATATCTAAATGTCACAATATCACCCAGGATATGTTAAAATGTAATAGAGTTTATTCTAAAAATGAAATCAGTTTCTGTCCATGTCATGGTCTAATAACAAGATGAGCAATGAATGGTTGAAAGTAAATGAATTTGCCAAAATTGAAAATAATAGTCATATAACAAACTGTCGTAAATTACATTGTCAAAATAGAGTTTCTAGTAACCATTATTGCTAAGCAAAACCCATGAGATTACGAAACGAGTGGTGTCAGTTGTCCCGTGCGTCTTGAGCTGTGTGAAAATTCCAGATCATATATTTCATCTCTCAGTCTCTTCAGCTCCAGCTGAAAATGATAGAACAGGTGTCAAGGTAAACGGCGGTTAACTGCAGGCGCCACGCATGAACTGCATATTACAGTCAGGCGCCACGCATAAACTGCATATTACAGTCAGGTGCCACGCATGAACTGCATATTACAGTCAGGCGCCACGCATGAACTGCATATTACAGTCAGGCGCCACGCATGAACTGCATATTACAGTCAGGGGCCACGCATGAACTGCATATTACAGTCAGGCGCCACGCATGAACTGCATATTACAGTCAGGCGCCATGAATGAACTGCATATTACAGTCAGGCGCCACGCATGAACAGCATTTTACAGTCAGGCGCCATGCATGAACTGCATATTACAGTCAGGCACCACACATGAACTGCATTTTACAGTCAGGCACCTTACATGAACTGCATATTGCAGTCAGGTGCCACACATGAACTGCATATTACAGTCAGGCATCACACATGAACTGCATATTACAGTCAGGCACCACACATGAGCTGCATATTACAGTCAGGCACCACACATGAAATGCATATTACAGTCACCCAGAAAATACCTTATCTATGTTTCTGCATCAGGTTTAGTCAGGGCAACACATCTGTCTCCTACATCTATGTCTCACCCAATAAGCCAATTTTCTGTCTTCTTCAAAAATGATCCTGTTCCTAAGCTGACTCAGCCTAAAATGGATACCAGGTAAGGTCCTGGGAAGTAACGGCTGGCATGATGGTGACCACATCATCCACAGAGTGCTAATAGGTCTATAAAATATAGGTCTGACCCTACATGCCCAATACGCCTGGAAAAGAGTCCTTTACTAAGCCGCACAGTTAATGACCCACCCTTCATTCAGGCAAGTGAAACCTAAAGGAAGCTTTTCACATCATTGGTGCCTATGGTGCTACTCCCATATTTTATAGACCAACTGGTACTCAACAGACGCTGCAGTCAACATCATTTAGATCTCATGACACTACCTGGTACAAATTTTAGACTGTACCCACCTTAGAGCCTTAAGTCAATTATACAAATCGTACTCAAGATCACTGGCCTGGGAGGAAAGCTTCTAAAAACAACACTAACACAGCTCCTTGGAATTTTCTCTTGTTGTCTTAAAATTTGTTAGTAACTGTCATACTGCCTGTGTCTTGTGCGAGACCCACAAGGAAACCAAAAATAGGAATATTGTTGCATACCATGCATGTTGCGCAAAAGTGAGTAAGGACAGACAGCTTTCTATTTAAAAAAAAAAAAAAAGAAAAAAAAAAAAAACAACAACAATTATATTTGTAGAACCACTGATTTTAAGTAAATACTGATATCCTATAAGATCAGAACATCAAAGAAGACTAGCTAGTAAACAACATCTTGTCTTGAAAAATGAAATATTTTGACCACTTCAAGTGCCATGGTGGACTGGGAAAAATATAAGCAGGAAAGAGGTGCAGGGGCTGACTAGCAGGATGATGATTGGTACAGGTTGTTAAGTGACAACTTGGGTAGGATAGTGCACGAGGCGGGAGAGCTGCAAAAAGTTGTGTTTCTTTAGGCAGACAGTCATGAAAGCAAAATTCTACAAAGGACCTGCTACATGATGATAACAATTTTAAGTTTAAAGAAATCAGTTAAGTAAAAGACCTTTTTTAAACCGCTGCCACAACAAGTAAATGATTCTAGACTCATAATGTTATAGACCAAACAGCCCTCATCAGTGATGTATGTGGTCATCCTGACTGTCTTGAACTCCCAGGGGACTATACTGGGACCCATTCTTAGCTGTGCTGACCTATGAGCTCAAACCAATGTAAAAATATAATCAGCCTTAATGTGGATTTAAGCCGATCACCACAGAGCTGTTCACTGCAATGCCACTGCACTCTTGTGGTGTTTGTTTTAAGTCACACAAAAATGTTCAGAGCTTCAGACCAACAAATAATGGTTCTTTTCCTCACTATTTCTCTGTGTTTGCCCTTACAAAGGTTGTAGACACACTGCTTGGTGGTTTATAGATAGGCTGCAATATATTTATTTCCCTTTCGCCCCAAAACATCACATTTCAGCAAACTCTTAAATAGTTGCCTTCACAACATATTTGTGAGGGGACAGTGGGTCTATCTCCCCTCACAACCCCAACCATGGGGAAAACAAGTTCAAACGTGAACAGGTGAGCCCCAGAGACTAACAATGTTATTAGATTAGAATTCACTGAATAGACTCAGCCTTAAGTGATGAATATGCACAGGCAGATCATTTTACACACCAATGGGAAATCAAAGGAACAGCAACAGCAACCCCAAGTCACCTAACGTACCGCTTGTCTTAAAATAATGCACTGGAACACGGAGGGAGTAAATACTAAGAAATTAGAATTAGAAAACGTCTTAAACGAAGAGAATATACATGTATGCTGCCTACAAGAGACGTATCTCAAACAAGACATGGCCTTCAAGATCAGAGACTACCAGTGTTTCCGATCTGACTGCAAAGACAGGAGAAAAGGTGGAATTCTTACCCTGGCCAAAAATAACATCCTTGCAAGACAGATTGAAACATACACGGAAGGTGCTGAGTATCAAACTCTTCAGCTCAAATCAGAAAATACAGATTTACATCTGACCAACTAATATTGTCCGAGCGACCGCCCTCAGACACTGGATACAGTACTAGTAAATGAAAGAATGATCATTTGTGGGGATTTTAATAGCCACTCCCAAAGTTGGGGCTACGATCACATGGATCAGAGAGGAGAGAAACTGGAGGACTGGCAGGATGAGAATAGATTCATCCTCATTAATAAGCCAACCGACCCACCAACCTTCTACTCAAGAGCATGGCATACCACCTCGACACCAGACCTCGCCTTTCACGCACCAGACATGGAACTTAACGTTACCAGAACTGTTGGAAAGCAACTAGGAGGCAGTGACCACCGGCCAGTCTTTCTAACTGTAGAAAGCCAGTCTGTAAGAGAGAACAGCACACTGCAAAGGTGGAATTTTAAGAAGGCAGACTGGAAGTTATATCAGCTTCGCACAAATGTTCTGCTGGAAAATCTGAACACAGATAGCGACGTAGAAAAAGTAGTCCAAGAATTGAGCAAACGCATGCTGCAGGCAGCCCTAGAAGCAGTTCCAAGAGGTGCGCGTAAACAATATAAACCGTACTGGAATTGCGATCTGGAGCAACTGCATAACAATATAGAAACAGAAAGAAAACAAACTGAGACCAGACCTTGTCAAGAGCAGTTCAACAACTACCAACATTCAAAGCCCAAATTTTAAAGAGCCAAACTGCAGGCTAGATGGACAAGCTGGCAGGAAAAGACAAAGTCTCTAAACTTTGAAAGAGACACAAGGAAATTGTGGAGGTTAATTAAACAAATTAATGATTAGAGTACAGGAAGAAATGGTAATATGGCACTATGCAAAAAAGGAGCCATCCTAACAAGAAAACAGGCAGCTGACCACTTTGCAGATTCTTTTGCCGAAGACAGCAACATAAATGTCAGCCCAAAGAAACAGCGAGAGGTTCGAGAGAATAAACAGCATACAAGACAAAATGATATAATTCCTGAGGCACTGGTGGCAGCACTTACATCCAGCGAGTTAGAGTTAGCAATATCAAAGCTGAGAATGGGAAAATCACCTGGAATTGATGGTATCACCAACGAAATGATCAAGAACCTTGGAACAACTGCCAAAATAAAGCTGCTACAGATCTTTAATCATTGTTGGACCAGTGGCAAAGTTCCTCAGATATGGAGAGAAGCAATTACAATACCTCTGCTTAAACCAGGAAAGGACAGTTCCGATGCCTCCAGCTATAGACCGATCAGTCTTACCAATTGCCTCTGTAAAACAATGGAACATATTGTCAACCTTAGACTCCAATGGTACTTGGAAAATGAAAACATTTTCATGCCGCAGCAGGCAGGATTTAGACAGTGCTACTCCACAGAAGACCAGACAACTTACCTTTCACAAGAAATTGAGGATGCCTTCCAGGAAAAGAAGCTAGTGCTAACGGCATGGATAGATCTGAAGAAAGCCTTTGACAAGGTCTGGAAAGAAGGTCTACTGAAGAAACTGAGAGACTGCAGGGTGAATGGGAGTATGTACAAATGGGTGAAAGCATACTTGTATAACAGAAGATCCCAAGTACAGATAGATGGACTTAAGAGTAAAGAAGTTTTGCTGTGCCATGGCGTCCCACAAGGAGGTGTCCTGTCCCCCACACTCTTTCTAGTCTATGTCAATGACCTGGTTTCTGTACTACCCCATGGAATTTATAGCTGCAATGTATGCTGATGACTTGGTACTCTGGTGTACAAATAAACATGCAACAGTGCCCACCAGACTGCTACAAAGAGCCATAGATGCAATGACTGAATGAGCTGACAAATGGTGTGTCAGCATTAACATAGGCAAATGCAGCACCACCCTCTTTACCCTCTCTCCAAAACAAAAATCAGGCATCATGCACATAAATGGAGTATCCCTGAGAGAGGATAAGGAGCCCACATACCTCAGAGTAACGTTTGATGATAGGTTAACATGGAGAAAACACATCAACAAGGCAGCAACCAAAGCCAGAAGGAGGGTAGCAATTCTGAGAAAACTAAGTGGAACCACATGGGGTGCTAGCGGGAAAATACTTAGGAAAGTTTACCAACAAAGTGTTCGACCACATCTTGAATACTGATCAACAGCATGGAGTTCGGCATCAAAAACCACATTGCAAGAATTAGACAAAGTGCAAAATCAACCACTCCGAGTTACCACAGGCAGTATAAAATCAACACCTATAGCTGTGATGGAGAAAATGGGGATGACCCAAGCACTGAGTGAACGCAGAGACACCAAGATGCTTTTACAAGCAGAAAAGTTTCTTAGTATGCAGTCACCCCATGAATGAAAGATTCCAAAATCTAGCTTTGGGACGACTCAGGAGAAGTAGTTTCATCCACCAGGCCAAACGGCTCGGCAGACAAATCACTGATTTCCCTGCAACTGATAGATCCTCAAATGCTGTCCCAGAACAGACCCCCTGGAGAGAGGAGTATAAGTTTCCAATACACATTAAGACAGAAGTGAAAGGAGTATTTGACAAGGAAGAACAAAACAGTGTGCAGTGCAAAACAGCCACCCTCAGTCTACTTGATGATGAATACCCGTGTTTACACAGATGGGTCAGCAGAAAGTGCAGTCAGAAACAGAGGTGCAGGAGTGTACATTGAGTATCCTAATAGTACCAGGGATACAGCCAAAATACCAACAGGAAAGCACTGTCACAACGATGATGCAGAAGTTCAAGCCATCAAGATAGCGGTAGAGAAACTACTAAATACCCTATGGTATTTTTCACAACCAGTGGTATTCCTGACAGATGCAAAAGCGGTACTTCAGTCACTCCAGTCTGGAAAATTACCAAGCATACGGACACTATTATCCAAACTAGGCAACCGTTGTAATTTAGTAATGCAGTGGATACCTTCCCACTGTGGAGTTCCCAGAAATGAAAGAGCCAATAAACTAGCTAAGGAAGGTGCAACTGAAGAACAACCCGACATACCAGTCTCTTATCAACAGAAGAAGAGAATGATCAAATCAATCAGAATGCCATCGAAACTGACACAAGACGATTACCATATTATGGATAGACCAGAGAAAGTCATTATCCTTCGCCTTAGAACAGGGCACAATCAACTTCGCTGCCACATGTACAACAAATTTAAGATTGGCCAATCAGCCATGTGTGCCTGTGGACTGGCACCTGAGATAACAGATCACATCATCCAAGACTGTCCCAGATTCAACGCTTCCAGGCAACACCTTTGGCCAAAAGAGACACTTGTGGAAGTCATACTATACGGGCCGCTTAGTGAATTAACAACAACAGTGAAATTCATACTAGAGACAGCATTGCAGATTTAGATAATTTTTTTCATGTGAACGAAAGAAGAAGAAGAACATAACGTACCTGCTGCATTTCAATAATCTTCTTCTGTTCCTCCATTTCTTTTTCCAGAAGTGGTTCTGTGAGTCTGCGATTAAAGTCTGGCACTTTAGTTTTCTTCTGGTGGCTCTCTAGTGTGATGGCTGCAGACATGTCATGGATGAGCTCACGGCACAGCTTCAGCTCCTTCCGCAGATCACAAATCTCCTTGATCAAGGAGACATTTTCCTTCAAAAGGACATACATCAAGATAATTAAATGATCACTGCTTCGGAAAATACGTACCATAACATACTAGTAATTTTCCACTATTAGAATGCAGATGACATGGGGGGGGGGGGGGGGGGGGGGGGGGGTTAGATGCAAGCGGCATCAAAGTGTAGCAGGGCTATTATGGGCTTAACATAGTCTCATTAAAACAGAACATGGATAATTTTCAGATGTCTCCGTGCAGGTTCTGGGGCTCTGTTTGGGGGGGGGGGGGGGGAGAGACAAAGAACAGACACACTGCCCCCAACAAGCATGTCACATGAGGCGAGTGACTAGGGATGTTTCCTAGGAAGTCAGAGTGCATTTGCTGGAGCGGATGAACAACCAGAACTTTCCGCTAGAGTTTACAGACGATGAACGTGAAGGAGAAGAAGAAGATATTCAGATTGGGGAACCTAAGCGAACGAAAGAAAAAGAAGAATTAGGAACCAAGTCTGTTTACAAAAAAGCTAGATCTGAACAATGGATGTGCACGCAAGACTCCAGTTCTGGAACAAGACTCAAGATCAGAAATGGATAAACCACATGAACTTTCAGCCAGAGTTTACAGACGGTGAACATGAAAAAGAAGAAGAAGATATTTAGTTCTTAACAGTCTGGGACAGGAAATCAGTGTGATAGAGAACTAGTCACCCCATCTAGTTTTGTATGACCTATAATATGTAAGGAAACTGAAGAACACTAAATGGGATGAATTCAAGAAAGGTGAACAAAATAAGAGAAATGTCTGCACAACCAGGTATCCACATTTCATATTTATGTCACATTGCATTGGCAAAGTAACCCAAAACCAGTTTAAAACAGTCAAAGGGAAAGAATTTAGATAATTATCTGCTCCATTTGTATTTAGTGATAACTTCCCTTCCCACAGGAATAAACCTTATTCCACTTCAGACATTTAGTGACTGGGAACTTAAAATTGTTTTTTCTCTTAGGGATGTGACATCATTAAATAAGTAGAGGACTTCATGCTCTTCAGAATGTAGATTGTCCAGTATCTTCTCTCTTGATCTTCCTCAGTCTCTCTTACCCTCAGACTCGTCTTCTCGTTGGTTAACTCTTTCAGTCCCAGGGGGTTTAGCATCCCAGGCCCAGGGGGTAGTAAAGAAAGTAATAAATTTGGCGCATCATGTGTTCATTGGGCTTCTAGGTAGGAACCTATGAATGTATGATGCATTCCTTGGGACTCAAAGATTTAAGGGGTTCGAACGCCCTGGATATTTATAAAAACTGACCAAGACACCAGAGAATTATATGTTCTTTTAAACAAAATTTGAAAGAAAATGTGAATTTTTACAGGATGAGAGGCTTAATAGTAAGAATTAGTCAAACCCTCCAGTGTTATCAGATAATCATATTGCAAGACATTTCTTCTTTTTAACTTAATGTTATTTCACTGCATATCTAACAACTTCTACTTTCATCACAAGAAGCCAACCTACATTCTTTATACAGGCAGTGAGAAAGAGAAAACTTGAGTACTTCATGACAACAGGAAAATTTGAGGGTAAGAGAGGTTGAGAAAGAAGAATTGCATCCAAAGTGTCTGACAGCACATGAGAGCAGGGCTGTGGAGGGACATGATAACACCACACCACACAGCTTCGATGACAAGAAGAAGCCCATTTGAAGTTTCTCAATTTCTCTTTCCATGAAAACCAACCTGCATGATCTTGACAGTGTCTGCCTTGTGAATCTCTGAATCCTTTTCCAGCTTCTTCCGCAGAATAGACAATGATCTCTCCAGGTGCTCCTTCTGTCGAGTGAATTCTTTCTGGATATCTGCATCCACGCTTGAGATCTCCGACTGCGATCAGTGAAGACAAAGATTAAGGCAATCTGTAACAAACCTTCAATCACAGATAGCTATGTGAGTTCCAGGGGATTCACCATGGCGTAGCAGCTAGACGCTTGCCTGCGGATCGGATGTCGTGAGTTTGGGTCCTGATGAAGCCGGACTTTAAAAAAAAAAAAGACCTTGGCTCCCAGGTCGACCCAGCCTTGAGTTGGTACCAGATACAGTCCTGGGAAATAAAGGTGGCTGGTGTTATGCTGACTACATCACCCACCTAGTGCCGACTAGGCTATAAAATATAGGTCTAGCCCCCCAATATGCCCAATATGCCTGAAAGCGTGAAAAAGGGTTCAACTAATGTGGGTTCCAGGACCCTATTTTGTAGGGTAGGGGCATCCTGGGGAGAGGGAGAGGGGGGGGGGGGATATGTAAACCAATTGCTTCTTTACAAGCCTGTCAGGAAAGGTGACTGATTAGCGATTTGCTGAAATCTGTCACATGTTGGGCTGAAGGGCTTAGATATCACCACAGTCAAGCTGTAAACCACAACACAATGTGCCAGCCACCTTTTTAAGGGCAAACCAGAAGAGAAAAAGGGCAATGATATAACTGCATCAACCCCTCCAACATATAATCTTTATGTTTTTGTGTGCTGGTAAGGGATACAAATCCTGCAAAAACAAACACCCTTAATATGACTTTCAAATCCTCAGGATCAATACAGACACATGGAAAACAGGTGCCCTGGATCCACCCAGAGAGCATGTACATTTGTTATCTTGCTGCAGTAACCAGCAAAGCAGCAGAGATTATACTGGCCCAGCAACATTGACAGGTAGACAACTGAGTGCAGCAGCTTCTTTCCTTGCTACAGGGTATCTGTTGTGCTGTCCACACTGCTAAAGAACTTTCCAGGCTCACATAGTCCTTACTGGTCGTTTATTTACTCATAATCACTGAATCTCACTCAATGCATCATGAGTAGTCTTAATCTCTTAGGATGGACAAAATTAAAAAATAAAAAATTAAAACAAGAGGTAATAAAACTACCATATAAAGTGATTTTTTTAATGCGAGGTCTAAATTCAACCTAAAGTTAATTTTTTTTTGGTCGCAACTGTTCCATAAATTTATATATATCTGAATATGAATGAGTTAAACTATATGCAGTAACAAATTAACTTATTTATAAGTCAGTGTTTTTTTGTGTGGCAAAATGCAGTGTCTAACTTAACTAACTGCAAAGTGAATAAGGATCCCCATACATCCCATGTATAAGAACACCCACAGATGTGTAAGAACATCCACGAATGTATAAGAACACTTACGAATGTGAGAGCACCAACAGATGTATAGGAACACCCACAGATGTATAAGAAGACTCACAGATGTATAGGAACACCTACAGATGTATAAGAAGACCCACGGATGTATAGACCCACAGATGTATAGGAACACCCACAGATGTATAAGAAGACCTACAGATGTATAGGAATACCCACAGATGTATAAGAATACCCACAGATGTATAAGAGCACCCACAGATAAACATGAACACCCACAGATGTATAAGAACACCCACATATGTATAAGAGCACCCACAGATGTATAAGAAGACCCACAGATGTATAGGCTCACAGATATATAGGAACACCCACAGATGTATAAGAAGACCCACAGATGAATAGGAATACCCACAGGTAAACATGAACATCCACAGATGTTTAAGAACATACACATATAAAACAATATTCATGAAAATGCAACCTTTGAAAAAAAAAAAAAATATATATAAGGCATTCAAAACAACAATTACAAGCAAATTTTATGTAAACAGAAACTCAACTTTTTTTGGGCACAGTTTCAAAATTAAAGTGACAAAAAAGAACAGTAACTGTTACATTTTTCCTATGTTGATGTTGCTTACTTTCTGAAAGACAGATTTGAACAGAAAATCTTTTAGTGGTGATCAAGTAAAGATGGAAGTGGTGAAGAATGAACAAAATAGAAACTATTTAAGATTTTTCTTTTCATTGAATGGTGACCACGATGGCATCCCGGTGGCAGACTTTTTCTGAGCTCACCCTTAAAAAAGGCAGTTGGCATAGTGTGCTGTAGTTTACAGCTAGGCTGATATATAGAAACCATTCGACCCAACACATCTAATTTGATGGGAAACACGTAATTAGTCAAATTTTATGACACACTTGTTGGGGCGGTGGGGCAGTAGGTTTTTTTTAACCACCCCGCCTCCCCCAACTAAAAGGGGTCTTCCAGACCCACACAGTGAAGTGGGAGGCTAAGACAGATGTTAGTCAGGCCCCATGGCATGGGAGAGTATGTGTATCAGAAATGACAGTTAATGAGACAGAAGGATGTGGAAACACATGATTACCAACATCACACAGCATGGAATGTAAGAACAAAAAGCAGAAGCAGCCAGCCTCAAGCTAACCCTCTGCAGTGCCAACTGAATATAAAGATTGCCTAGTAAAATCACATAACAGCCACACATGCAAATATCTGGGGGTTGGTTCTTCAACATATTCTGGGGAGTTAGTTCTTCAACATATTCTGGGGAGTTAGTTCTTCAACATATTCTGGGGAGTTAGTTCTTCAACATATTCTGGGGAGTTAGTTCTTCAACATATTCTGGGGGGTTGGTTCTGTAACATAATCTGGGAAGTTGCTTCTGCAACATATTCGGGAAGTTGGTTCTTCAACATATTCTGGGAAGTTGGTTCTTCAACATATCCCGGGGAGTTGGTTCTTCAACATATTCTGGGGAGTTAGTTCTTCAACATATTCTGGGGAGTTAGTTCTTCAACATATTCTGGGGAGTTGGTTCTGCAACATATTCTGGGAAGTTGGTTCTGCAACATATTCTGGGGGGTTGGTTCTGCAACATATTCTGGGGGGTTGGTTCTGTAACATATTCTGGGGGGTTGGTTCTGTAACATATTCTGGGAGGTTGGTTCTGTAACATATTCTGGGGGGTTGGTTCTGTAACATATTCTGGGGGGTTGGTTCTGTAACATATTCTGGGAGGTTGGTTCTGTAACATATTCTGGGGGGTTGGTTCTGTAACATATTCTGGGGAGTTGGTTCTGCAACATCATGTGATAGTTACGCAACTGACTTATTATTATTAACTATAATTTAAAAAAGAAGTCACCATGGTGTTGCGGGTAGACTCTCGCCTGTGGATCGGAGGGTCATGAATTTGGGTCCTGACACAACCAGGCTTTCTTCAAAAATATCCTTGGCTCCCAGGTCAGCCCAGCTTTGAGTGGGTATCAGTCCTGAGAAGTAGAGGCGGCCGGCATAAGGTTGACCCCATTTTCTACTAAGTTCCAACCGATGTATAAAATACACATCTAGCCCTATGCGCCCAATACACCTGAAGGCACACAAAAGAGTCTTTTACCTTATTTACTATACTTTAAAAAATAAAGAGAATCAACAACGAAACTCACATTATCCTCCAAAACATGTTTGCGATACAAAGTTCTGATGCCTTCTTTGAACGACTTTGTATCTTGAATGGTGGCTATACAGTTATGGAGCTCAGTCTTGAATTTACGCACAATGGCCTCTACATCATGCACCTAATTAGAGTATTTCGATCAAATCAGTGTTAACATTTCAGCTTCTACCTGGTATTGTCATAGAAACATGTTTATCTTAAGAGGGATCTGAATGCAGGACACCATGCTGACAGATAAGTGTATTAGATTGGCCTTTTATTTCTTTTGGCGTTGTGCAATGGTACGCGGTACTGGCACCTTTATAAGGCATCAATTTATCAATGTTACTGTAATAGACCTCCCAGGTCGACCCAGCCTTGAGTGGGTACCGTGTGCAGTCCCGGGAAGTTGAGGCCGCTGGCGTGATGCTGACCACATCACCCATCTTGTGCCGTTGGTCTATAAAATATAGGTCTAGCCCTATATGCCGTATACGCATAAAGGCATGGAAAAGGGTCCTTTACTTTTTTTTTTTTTTTTTACTTACTGTAATAGACACTTTGAGGTAAGAACTGGCCACTTTTTGTTTTTTCAAAGACATTTTGTGGTGAGTATAGGCACCATTTTTTATAGAACAACAGACTTGGTATTAGCTATTATGTTAAAGAAGCTTCTTGTGTGAGTAAACATCTTCTTATAGTCCATGCAGTATAGCACTGGTAGACATGACCATTGCCAGCCTACAGTCTTTTGTACTATCAGGTATGTCTGACACAGATGATCTTCCCTGCTATGATGTCAAACTGTTCAGCATCTTCTCACCTGGTCTTCCTGTGTTTTTCTTCCCCTCCAACTTCCCTGCTGTCACGATTTACTCCAGTTTTCACCTTCTCTCACTGTGATTAGAGAATTCAGATGTCTCCTTCTGTTATTGATAATCAGTTCATTGCAAGATAATTTCTTTGATGACATCTTCATTATTCTTGTTACCTGTCCACAGTGGTCTCATCATTTGTCTGTAAACTCACATCACATAATAAACTCCCCCCTTTATTTTCCCCTCTTATCGGCTGAATGTCCACGATTCACTTCCACATATCAGGCTGAGGTATTGGAAAGTGCAGGTATTATAAGTTTTCTCGATGATCACTTCACAAGGCTCAGGTGGCTGGGTTGAACCTGGAGAATAGAAGATGGCAGAGTCCTTAAGGACATTCTCTATGGTGAATTACAGATGGGCAGAAGATGTCCAGGCCAGCCTCTATTACAATATAAACATATGCAAGTGAGACATGAATGGTACAGGCATTGAGGTGGATGTGTGGGAAGAAAATGCCACAACCATATTGTGTTAAGGGGGCATTCATGAAGGGTATGAGAATGAAGGAAGAAATAATCGCAGAAATAAATATAGCTCAGTGTCTGAGAAAAAAGAAACTAAATAGTAATTATGGCAACAATAGTCCTAAAATCCCATGCTATAATTGTGGAAGACTTTTCTTGATGCAGGTGGGTCTTGCTGGTCACACTTGCCTTCACCATGGGTTGTGAGTCCCATGCCTCCTCACAGCACAGTATAACATTGTTATCTGGAAAGATGGAGAGGTGCCAACAACAGCAACCCTCAGATCCATCTAATGATGATGTCCTATCTAAAGAATATATCACCTTTTGTTTCTCCCGATTGGTTTCTCCAGAAGCTGCTCTGAGTTTTTCCTTTAGTTCAGCAATTGTGAACTCTAGTTGACCATTATACTTATGGAACCTGCCCAGCTCATGCTCCATCTGCAAGGCATAGATAACAAGATCAGGAACTTTATAGCAAAAATGACAGAATTTCCTTTCTCAGCTTCAATAAAAACATTATCATCCAAATTGTTTAAAAATTAAGAAAAACAACTGTGACCAAGCCGGCTGTAACATTCTTCTATAGAGGTTATAGCGGTAACACAAGCTTTCATGTGGCTGGAACCACAGGACTATTCCCACATGTGTGTGCTCAGTAATTCTATGAGCATGATCCAGCGGGTCGAGGCAGTCTCCGTATGCAGACAGTGGACTGAAATTTTTGTCCCAGGGTATGCAGGTGTTCTTGGAAATAAAAGAGCTGATAGACTGGTCTGTTCTGCTTAAGTTGCAGTTGGCCAGCCTATAGATCGTGCTGACAGTGTTAAAGCCCTTAAAAAGATAGGACGATCCAAGGATTTGGGGAGCAGTTTGTCCACATCACTGCCAAGAATTTGAGAACTGGGTGTAAGGATCGGCACAGCAAAGCATGAGAGGCGCACTGGGCATACAAGAAGTCTTGTTAACTAGTGTAGTACTGGTACTATTAACTGCAGGATGCTGATGTATATGCTGAAGGGAGAATTTGAGCAACTATGGTCGTATCCGGAGTGCTGTAAAGATAACCCTACTCATAAATCATTCTTCTTCTACTTCTTCTTCACATTCACCGGCTGTAAATTCTAGTGGAAAGTTCTGCTTGCTCATTCACTTCTGCACCTTGCTCTTGTTCTAGAACCAGAGTGTTATGTGCATACCCTTCCACAGATCTGACTTATGTGTATGCCAACTGTTGGTTCCTTGCCTCTCATGCAGATGCACTGTGACTTTGTAGGAAGCCACCAATTAGTCGACTCTTACAAGATGCTTATTGGGGAGGCAGTGGTTCTATTTCATTTGTTCTGAAAGACAAAACATGTGGCCACACCCATTGCACCTTGCAACTAAGCTCTGGAAGAAACATTAGGCTGACATCCCAGTTTATGGCCCACAGTGGATTAAGCAAATGATCAGAGACAGCTGAAAAAAGAAGAAGATAAAAATGAAGAAGAAGAAAAAGAAGAAGAAGAAGAAGAAGAAGAAGAAGAAGAAGAAGAAGAAGAAGAAGAAGAAGAAGCAAAAGCAGAACAAGAAGATGAAGAAGCATAAACAGAAGCAGCAGAGGCAGAAAAAGCAGCAGCAGCAGCAGCAGCAGCAAAAGTTTAAAAAAAAAAACAAGCTACAATACCCCCATAATCTGCTCCTTCATTTTCTTAATGTCTAGTTCTCTGGGCTCAATCTGCTCCCGGAGCTCTTTAATTTTGTAAGTCAACACAAATCTGAACTTCTCCAGTTCATTGTTCTTCCTCTTCAGGATGAAAATGTCTGCCTCCTGTAGAATAAATGAAAAACAAAAATCCCTAAGTGCGGGAAGGGGAAAGATACAGTAGTACTTTAATATATATATATATATATTTCATTTGTTCCTGATTTTTAACATATACTTAACAGTATGCATACCATATACATTTTCTCATTAGAAAGAAAGGAAGAATGATTAATAAATTCCCAAAAAACAATCCCATTGTTACTGGTCTATTATACACTGATGGGGCTGCATACAATAATTTATATACTGCTTAATACTAAAATGCATAAATTCGAAAGCAATTAGATGGGGGCAAAAATGAAAACTTAACATCACTTTACTTCACTAAGAAGAGTCGAGTGCCTACTTGGATGGTACTAAGAAGGTAGGGGGAGGAGATGCTATTGTTTTGAAGGAGAAAACTTCAAAAGTCTTTTAAATTCTGGTGTTTTTCCCCTCTTTCTTTTGTGTGTCTCTCTTTTAGTTACTTGGACCCCGCTGAGGCTCATATGGCTTCTGCCTTCACTCCAGGGCTACTTAAGAAATAACCAGTAAATAACTAGTCTGAAACAATGGTGAGATGTTGAGCAAAGGGAAGAAAGTATTCCTTGCAATGCTGCCAGGACTCCGTACAGTCGATAATGCTTGAGTGCTGTATAATTATGACACCTGTCTGTTGCTAATTTCTTTTACTTTCTTATATCTTTTACCCCTCAACACAGCACAATCCTTCAATGAACTCTCACTAAGCCAAAGCAATTACCCTTGTGACACAAATGAAGCAATCCAAAACTGAGAACTCAATATTAAGAAAGTAAGGAAAATGTTTTTCACTGAAGTTTTTTTTAAAACCAATCTGCGCCGAGACCCCGAAAATAAGGTTGGTCCTCCTCCAGTAAGTGTTTAGGGGTAAGGGGTAAAAAAAAATTTATTGATGGGGCAAACCTCTGTTGATGATCGGTATGCTCCTGTTGTGTATGCACCCATAGTGAAGTACTTTCATCTTCAAGAAATATGAAGCAGAAATTGTGAGTATACACAGCCCAGAGTAGATTTCAAGCAACCCACTGATACATAATTGTATTATATTACACAAGAATTGCATTGGAAATGCCTCAACATCATATCCTAGTCGTGAGTTGTTTAAAAAAAAAAGTATTCTGTGTTGCATCTTGCCACACCTTACCTAACTTAACTAGATGTAAAAAAAAAACCAAAGAAGTGAAGGACCGTTTTCCACGCCTTTAGGCGTATAGGGCATATAGGGCTAGACCTATATTTTTATAGACCAATCACGACTCAAGGCTGGGTCGACCTGGGAGCCAAGGTCATTTTTGAAAATAATAGCCTGGCACTGCCAGGGAGTGAACCCACGACCTTCTGATCCCGAAAAGGGTCTAGCCGCTAGGCCACGACGACTCCAACCTAATTATTTGACATGCAGTAAATGAGTTGAGATAGAAAAGCTTCCTCGGTGTGGGGTTCTGGCACCCCATTATGTTTGGTAGGTTGATAGTTGTACCCCTCCAGGACATCACACAAGCGACAAACACCCGGTGACACAAAGTGCCACCATGCGGATGAGGATCACCCGTGGAGAGGTCACAGAAACCCCGTTCAGCCGTTAACGCCATATCCACTGATAGGCCATAAATATGGCCCGGCTATATTCAGGACCCCGGGGCAAAAGCCAGAGTGGGGCTTCAAATTAACAAACAGTTGCATCCCACAAGGGGACGACGTATTAGTGGCACCCTATTATGGTGTTAACAAAAAAAACACAAAAAACCTAAACAAAAACAAGAATAGACCAACAACCTCCACAAAAAGCAGGTCGTAAAAGCTGTAAACTACAACCCAATGTAATATTGTCAGCTGCCTTTCTGAAGAAGACAAGATAAGACAAACAAACTGTACCTTCACTTGAATGTTGGCATCTCTGTCCCGTATGTTGCTCTTCAAAGCTGTGATATCCTTCTCTAATGAGGAATTGTTATTGCTCATCTTCATGGCCTCTGACTTCAGCTTTTTGATTTCATCTCTAAGTTCTTCAATCTCCTTCTGCAGACTGTTGAACTGGAGACGATATGACACATACATTGTCACTGCATGTACCAGTGGCCAGACACGCATGGAACAGTTTTAATTACCGCAAAAGAGTAATGCATCACTTTGGAGTTTATTATTACTGTTTACTATTTCTTACTAATACGTCACTCAGTTCACGGCTCAAGAGCGCGTAACATTTGGTTAAGAGCATTAACATAGTGAAAAGAATGTTCGCTGCATGCTTCCACCACTTATAAAATAACTGTAATGTGTGAAAGCTACCAGTTAACAGTACCACAATGCTAGCTGCGCAACAATGAAGTAATGAGAAAGGAAATGTTACATGATACCCTCACTAGTGTAATTGTTCCATGCTAACACTTACACATACAAACCGGCCACTCCTCGCCTCTGCCATATACTTTTCAGGACATGACAAACCAATCCCAGAATTTACTGGCTGTTGTGTCATTCTGAAGACAACAATGATCAATACCTGGATGGCTAGGCCACATAGATGGGGGTGGGGTGGGGGGGGGGGGGGGGGAGATCACTGACATGATCCATGATTTCTGGTGATTCTGTGGGAAGGTGATACATGACAGACTAATCATATCAGTGTGGCACATGATGACGACAACATGTGCTTTTACTAGACAATTTTATGTTTAGTAGTTTGCCATTGCTTACTGAACGAAACCATGCCGATGCCAAAATTAATGCAAAAGCAGTCTGATATCAATACCCTGGTGCTGACTTTGAGCATCAGTATGTCAGGATTGTGAGAATTTTTTTACAACCCTTTAAGCCACAGACGGTGAGAGCATATATATTATAGCATATGAAACAGTCTCCTAAAAAAGCTCACTAAACTGATCGGTCCAGTAAGTCTTGTCTGATGACCAGAAGCAGGAATGATTTATTTATATCTCTGTTATGTGCCTGTTTGTCTCATCTTCATTTACTCAACTAATATGCAAAGGCAGTGATGTTCTGGCGTCCTACATGCCCAAAAAAAAAATCACATTCAGGTCCGTGATTATTTGGTCTCTTCTATATGACAAAGCCATCCAATTATTTTCTGGAATCCCACTTCCAGTCAATATGCTGTATAGGCAGGCATACTGTGTTAGTCGGGGAAAGTTTCTGCATCTAACAATAGTAAGCTGTTGCATTTTCCTCCATATATGGACTGAAAGGATCTAGTTCCATTGCCTAGATACTGAAAGTAGAACATTATATACAACAATGAAAAAGAGACAAAGTTCTTTGGTCATGTAATGAGAAAAGGAGGACTTGAAAATATTGTGACGACTGGAAAGATCACTGGTAGAAGAGGCAGAGGCCGACCAAGAGAAATGACGGTGGACGGCTTAGAACAGTGGCATGGAGGATTTATATCATCAGTGGAATTGATCCAGAACACCAAAGAACGCCTATGCCAGCTGGCAAAGCACTTAATGATGAGCTACTGAGCTGAGTGTATGGCATGACACTGTGAGCTGTAGATTTCAATTGGAATACTTTTCAACTGTGCCCAGCATGGTTTGTGTTGTGAGCTGCACATTCAGAAAATGGTCTCTGATTCATTGCCAGAGAACTGGTGGTACCTTATACTATGAACTGTGTGCAACTACTGCTTTTTTGTAATTGCTGCTTACACTGACGATAAACTGGGCTTGTGATGGCTGCCTCCTGCATTTAATACATGTGGATGCTACTGGTTTTGTTGAGACTGCAATTTGTAATCTGTAAAAATTTTGATCACCAGGGACAGTGATAGACATTATGTAGTGTGTGCATTTCACTGGCAAAGGAACGGAGCAGCTATGGGGCGACATGTTTGCTATGAAGTTGGAACTGCAATTATCTGATTATGGGATTGCAACTTTCTTGGTCTCTTTAAAAAAAAAAAAGTTAGTTTTTAACGGCTTTCTTTCTTGGCCGTGGCCATATTCTTTCTTCTTTCTTTAAGGGTTGACAAGTAATATTTGTAGCAAAAGAGGAAAACTACGTGTAATAAAAATGACAACTCTGTTTTCTGTGGACAAGTAAATACTGGCACAATAGATGTCGTGAAGTGATCCAACTTACCCCTGCACATTCGACTATTCGTGACGTTGGCGCCCCTAGCGGGCAGGTCATATTTCAAATATAGACCTGTCCGGTGGGTATATAGTTCCTCATATCTATTTATACCTTTATCTGGCATAATAGGTATTTCTATACACTCTAGTTGTCTTGAAAAGTCTACATTTTCAAACTTACAATTGTGGGATAGATATTTCCTGGATTAATATTCAGAATTCTGAAAAGCCTTTTTACTCCTCCACGCATTAATCTCGCGGGCTACTTTCTTTGAAAGGACGCCTAGCCTACCGAGTCATTCTCTGTCTGACTGCCAAGAAGAACTGATGTTCTTAAATGTGCCTCGAATATCTATGCTTTGAGGAGGCGGCCTTTTGTGTCTAGGACATTTCATAAAGCTTGGGTAAGTTGATTATGTTTGCGAGTACCATGATATATGTCTCTATGAAGTTAACCGTTGCTGCAAGGAGGAAAGATTCAGCTTTGAGACAGCGCAGAACAAGACCGTTCTTGGTGTCCAAGTACTCACAGCCACTTAAACCAACCCTTTCCCTTCACAAGCTGATAGTTTGTGTCCTACCTGACCCTATATTATTGTAAATATTTTAATCTAGCAGGCTAATTATTATCTTACTAACTGGCAGAGATTCAGGTCGATATAGTCAGCAGATTTAACTGGGTCAAACTACAGAGAGCAAGACACTGTGACGTCAGAGGTTATTTTTAGCAGACACACAACAGCACAGTGTCAGCTACGGTCAGACTGTGGAGGTATAATATATATGTAAGATGGAGTTGGAATGTATGTCCACAAGTGCAGATGGGAATGTGGAAAGAGAATGTCCTATGTGTATTAGTGTCTATCTATCTCCACTATGGAATTTGTCTCCTATCTCTTGTACTGACTGACAGACAGAGATAAATGAAGATTTAACTGTCTCATTATCCTGACAGCTATCCTCTGAGTGACTGAGAAGGGTGGAGAGAAATAAATTGAGCTTGGTATGTGACTCCTGATATGAGTACTAATTCTAAGTTCCTTCCTGACACAGGATAATACCTCCCTGGATGTCAGGCAGATGATCAACAGTCCAACCAACCACCATCCACCAATAGTGCCTAATACTACCACAACTTCTCCAGTGGCTAAGAGGCAGTTGGTGCAGGCCACCCAGTTGTCATCACTCAAGGAGATCCTTCTTCAGAAGCTTGTGTTGGCTCCAGTGGCTAAAAGACAGTTGTTGTAGGCCAACCAATGCAGAGTTCCGGACGCAGGTGACAAATCGCAGAAGCTTAGAGAAATCTAAGTGTTCTGCTATTGGTTGACGTATGGGGGATTTTAAATGATTTGTCTTTAGTCATCACGTGTGCAGATTTTAGAAGATGTTGTGCTATTGAAGAGGGGTGATTTTTGCGGCCAGTATTCTTTTTTTGAATATTTTTTTGCATAGCTTTTTCCACCCATACTGGAATGTGCTCAGCGACTTGTTTCTCCAAGTGTTGATCCGTTCTGCTCACATAAGCAGCTTCACAGCTACATTTAAATTGGTAGATACAGTTTGATTTGGCGTATGTTGACATTGGTTGTTTCACCTAGGGCGTTGGCACAGGGGTAGTTTTAAACCTGATAATAGGCAAAGGAGCGTAGAAAGTTTGGCTGACTGCTGTTTTGAGCCGGTCGTATAGCCGTTTTATAACGTCTTCCCCTCAATAGGTTAGATGTATGTAGACTTCTTGTTTGGGAAATGACGTTTCTATAGTAGTTGGTTGAGGAGGTTGGCAGTGGTGCTTAATAAAACCAACTGGGTATCCGTTCAATACTAACGTTTGTAGGATATCTTGCAGAACCAACTCCCCAGAATATGTTGAAGAACCTTCTCCCCAGAATATGTTGGAAAACCAACGCCCAGATATTTGCATGTGTGGCTGTTATGTGATTTTACTAGGCATTTTATATTCAGTGGGCATTGCAGAGGGTTAGCTTGAGGCTGGCTGCCTCTTCTTTGTCAAGCTCCAGTGTATGAGCGCTGTCGGTGTTTGCCAGGGTAACCAGGAAAAGAAGCAGTCTACTCAAATCAGCCTGTTCAGATCACCATGGACTGAGGAGAGCAGTGACATTCACCAAACTTGATAAGTATAGCAGAGATCATATATCTCATGCTCTTTTTGCAGGTCCACCTGGAGCCATGATGATGATCACTGATACTCTCAAACACTGACTCTGGCTGATTCAGCAGTACTTTTTAGACTTTGATTCCTGAGCTCTAATTGAATGTGAACTTCTTAGATTGTTTTGATGATATATATGTGTTGCATTTATTGCATGCCTTTGGAAGTTTTTATTACTGACTTGGGTGTCCCTGTTTCACTGTTCAAACTGTCTAGCTTTTATGTATGTGTGATCATTAATCTAAATTTGTGTTAACATGGCTGTGGTATTACAATATCATAGCCTGGGGGCTATCTTTTTATAGTAGTGAGGGTGTCCAGCAAAGTTGCGCCTAGGATTATTATATATTCTGTAGTGTCATAACTTGAGTTGCCCTGCTCCTGAAATAGGTTGGGTGTATTTTGGCCACGGGATACCCTTTAGGCCAATACGAGCTGACACCTCAACATTATTCTATTTCAGAATGCTGTTGGTTCTTAAGCAGAAATCCTTAAAACAGGCATGCGACACGAGCGGTATGTGACAATAGAGCTGACAAATAAACTGGGCGGGGTGGGGGGGGGGGGGGGGGGGGGGGGGTGGGGACATAGAGAAAGACAGTAAAAATGGAAATAAGGCAGTGTAAACTGACAAGGGATACCATAGACAAATAAACAGTAAACAGATAGCAATGTAGATTACTTGAGTATGCATTATATGTCAACAGCAACCTAAAGAGGATATATATATATATATATATATATATATATATAAATAGAAAAATCTGTTTAGCCAGGCAATTAAATCTAGTCAGGTATAAATCACAAGAAAGACATTCTTACTCTTCTCATCAGAACTGCATTCTTCTCTTTCAGCGTTTGGTTACTATTTCTTTCCTTGTGTAATTTTTGCTCATAAGCATGCTTGAGGTCCTGGATCTCTCTGTCACAGTCCTCCTCTATTTGTCTCACGACTTCTTCGTGCTCTCTGGCATCTTGTCGTAACTGTCCGTTACACTGTGAGCAGAATGTGACAATACAGATTAGTTAAATGTTTACCGGTAATGTTGACTTCTCACATGGAAGATTAAAAACAGAGAACTAATTTAGCTGGCAGGATGTTGACCACATCACCCACCAAGCGCAAACTGATATTTAAATATATGAGTTTAGGGTCATATTCCTGACCTGCTACTGGAATAAAAAGGGTCCTTCACTCTGGAAAAAAAGATGTTTTCAGCTATCAGTTATCTTTTCTTTCTCCATTTACCTGGAAATGTAAGGATTATTTTGTGCTTTTTCTGATGTGCTTTATAAGTTAGATTTTCATTTTTCTAAGTTGTTTTTTTTGGGCGTGCCTCTCTGTGAAAATTCATACCAGGGTATTCTAATGGATGTCCAAATCATCTTATCTGTAACTGTTATCCACTGCACCATGTGGGTTCCACGGTCCAATTTTGAGAGAAAAACAACAGATTATCTGTATGCTTTGTCTAAAGTGTTCGCTCGTTCGCGTTGCATAATTTGGTCTTCATTTCCCTAAGATTGTTTTTGTGTGTGGTCTCCTCTGGCTCTGTGTTCATTATATTTAATCAGTATGACTCTCTGTGGCAGGATGTTCCAGGGTATTCTGGAGCCCCATTCTGGAGGGGGGAAAAAAACAATAGACCCACCGCCTCCTTAACAATTGTGTAGTAAAAGGTGACTTATTAGAGGTGTTACCATTGAAATCAGAGTGCATCTGCCTGAAAAGGCGAGGAACCAACAGTCTGCATGTAAATAAGACAGATCTATAACTAAATGTTACAATTTCTGGCTCCTGCCTGCAGTGTCTGTGCAGGACAAGTTTTTATCAGGACCGGCCCTTCTAAGTGCTCCAGGACCGGAAAGGACCCATAAACCAATAGGGACCCTCAACTTGACCCAAATAAAGGACACGGAACTTAAACATACAAAAACAGAAAACATGAAAAATAGCTTCTGAAAAAACCAATAAACAGTACAAAAAGAAAGCATAAGTACAACAACCACATGAGCTCATGTTAGCAGACATGCAAAATGGTACCAGCATCTGGATGAAAAGGCCAAAACAGAGGACCCATACATGGGAGTTAGGAGCATTAAAGTCATTAACCGCAACACAAAGAGAATAAATCTAAGCCATTAAACTTAGCACAAAGACACCAAGACCACAAATATGACCAACACTGTTCTCACCAGACTGAATATGGTCATTCCCCCCCCCCCCCCCAATGATTGAAACATATATGCATGTAAAACTTGTCCTGAAACAACACCGCGGTCCAGAAGTAAACAAACAACTAGGATTTTCTACCAGAGTTTGCATCTGGTCAATGCAAAGAAGAAGAAGTTATTAATGCTATGAAATCTCACCTATTTAATGGAAAGAGAATAAACATTTCTCTTCCTTTTTTTTTCTAACAGACCTGCTACATGCTGTTTGGTCTCTCTTTATTTCTTTCCCCTGTGGGTTTCAGTGCAAGGATATTCTAGCTTTATTATCCGGTTTTTTTCAGTGTGTTTTCTCCCAGTATCATCGACGTTTCCTCTCCTTGATTTATTTGAATTTGTTAAGCTCTCTCCCCAATCTCTACAGTGTTGATCCATCTGAATCTGTTTAGCTCTCTCTCCAATCTCTACAGTCTTGATCCACCTGAATTTGTTTAGCTCTCTCCCCAGTCTCTAGTCTTGATATACTTGAATTTGTTTAGCTCTCTTCATAATCTCTATAGGCTTGATCAACTTGAATCTGTTTAGCTCTCTTCATAATCTCTATAGGCTTGATCAACTTGAATCTGTTTAGCTCTCTTCATAATCTCTATAGGCTTGATCCAACTGAATTTGTTTAGCTCTCTTCCCAGTCTCTACAGTCTTGATCCACCTGCATTTTTTTAGCTCTCTCCCCAGTCTCTAGTCTTGATATACTTGAATTTGTTTAGCTCTCTGCTCAATCTCTACAGTCTTGATCTACTTGAATTGGTTTAGCTCTCTGCCCAATCTCTACAGTTTTGGTCCACTTGAATTTGTTTAGCTCTCTCCCCAATCTCTATAATTTTGATCCACTTAAATCTGTTTAGCTCTCTCCTTAATCTCTACAGTCTTGATCTACTTGAATCTGTTTAGCTCTCTCCCCAATCTCTAGTCTTGATCCCTTTGAATCTGTTTAGCTCTCTCCCTCATCTCTAAAGTCTTGATCCACTTGAATCTGTTTAGCTTTCTTTCTAATCTCTAGTCTCGATCCACTTGAATCTGTTTAGCTCTTTCCTGAATCTCTACAGTCTTGATTCACTTAAATCTGTTTAGCTCTTTCCCCAATCTCTACTGTCTTGATCCACCTGAATCTGTTAAGCTCTCTCCCCAATCTCTACAATCTTGATTCTGTCATACCATTAATTCCTTCTAGCTTGTGCAGGCATCAGTTAAGGATTGTCCATGGATTAGAGAAAGTCAAAACTACAGTTACCAAGACAATAGACTGATTTGTAGTTAGGATGTGAAAATGTAATCAAATGGGAAAAATAAAAAAAGTATGTGTTAACCATAAAGAATACAGTTATAATAAGCAAATAAAGTATGATAGACTGACAGGCTTCATCAGTAAAGAAAAACAAAGAACAACAAAAGCATACAAAGAAATAAACATTGCTGAAGTAACTATATTACATTAAAATATTATGCAAAAACACGAAAAAAAAAAAAAATTCCCCGTGTGGGTTCTGGGGCCCCATTGTGGGAAAAATAAAAACAGACCCACTATCTGCCCAAAAACATGTCATAAGAGTCGACTGATTGGGGGGCTTCCTTCGAAGTTGGAGTACATCTGTCCGAGAGGCAAAGAACCAACAGTCTGCACGCAAATGAGTCAGGGCTGTGAAACAGATGTGCATGCAACACTCAGTTTTTGGAACAGGACTTGAGTCCAGAAGCGGATAAACAGCCAGAACTTTCCGTTAAAAAAAAAAATTGTTGTTGGATCTGGACCACACACAAAAATCCACCTCAACTGAAGATTGAAACCAAGTTGTATGCTGGTAAGCAGAGGTCAAGACTCGAGTCGAATGACTTCGACTCGAGTCTAACTTAAGACATGTAGTTAACGACTTGCGACTCAAGTTGGGGTTTTGTCCACTGGCGTGCGATTCAACTTGCAGCTCTGACTTGGTATGACTTGTTCTTTGTGGCCACACAATGTGAGGTTTGGTAACCAAAGTCCTTTTTAAAATATCTTCACGTTTAGATTTATCAAGCTTTCACATTTGAGGTCTTCCGCAAAACTTGGGGCCCTGGCAAAAAGCCAAAGTCTAAATGGACAAACAACCAGGACTTTCTGCGCGAGCTTACAGCCGGTGAATAAAGAAGAAGATATATCGATAGTGAATTTTTCACACTACCATTTCCGATTTGGTATTTTCACCACTTGTGACTGATCCATAAGAGCTGTCCCATGCTTCACTTGTAAATGACTTGAAACATGAAGTGACTTGACTTGAGACCTGACTCTGAAGCATTGTTAGTGATTTGAGACTTCAATTGGGACTTGGTGGCAATGACTTTGGACTCCACTTGGACTTGAAGGGTGGCAACTTAGTCCAGCCCCTGCTGGTAAGACAGAAATATGTCAGAGACAAAATATACAAATTTGCAGGACATCAGGAGCCTCTCTTGGCGGTGGTGAAACGTCGCAAGCGAGCTTGGTTCGGGCACATGGTGAGACATGATTCGACTGCAAAGACTGTATTTCAAGGAACATTGGGGGTAGTCGAAGAAGAGGAGGGCAAAGAAGAAACTGGAATGACAACATCAAGAAATGGACTGGACTAAATTATCATACACTTATTCATCAAGTGGAGGACAGGATGCCAAGCCCATGAATGAAGATCTTAGTAAGATCAACGAATTACTCTTTGCAGATGACCAGGCCTTGATAGCAGATACAGCCATGAAATTGCAACAACATCTAACATCCATGAATGAAGAATGTAAAACAAATAATATGAGAATCAACACTGAAAAGACAGAAGTAATGTCAATAGGAAAAAAGAAGACAGATCTATACATAGCAATAGAATACAAAGACATTAAACAGGCATCTGAGTTTAAAAATCTGGGAACCACATTTACCGAAGATGGGAAATTGGATAAAGAAATTGACATTAGATGCAGTAAAGCAAACCAAGTATTGGGACAGCTAGCCCCCCTCTTACAGCATAAGACAATCCCAATCAGCACAAAGAGACATCTTATTCAAAGCATATTTATTCCAACTATGTGCTACCAGTGCCAGACATGGTCACTCACAACAAACCATAAAAGAAAATTAGTAACCACGGAAATGAGATGTCTGAGAAGGGCTGTAGGAGTGACCATAAGAGATAAGATCAGGAATGAGATCATAAGAGAACAAGTCGGCACAGAACCAATTCTGGATTACATACAAAGACAGCAAGTGAAATGGTTTGCCCACTTAGAGAGAATGCCTTGTGACACCATACCATACAAAGCATACATGGAAAGAGAAGAAGGACGTAGAGCACGGGGTAGACCAAGAACAAGATGGAAGGATAACATCAGATAAACTCTACAACAGCACGATGTGCCTATGGTCGAGGCAGCCAGAAGAGCTAGAAACAGAACCTTATATCTCCCTCGACACCCACAGCGGTAAAAGAGGAAGTGAAGAAGAAGAAGAAGAAGGAGGACAGAGACAGATGGCAGGTTTTGTGTGCTAGCGCTTCCATCAATACGCCTCCACGACCCTAACGGGTCAAGGTCTATGTTATGGTAAGTTAGAACACTATTCCTTAAACTCCTCACAAATTCCTGTAAAACCTGTAGAAATCACAGATAAACAAAACAAAGACAACTGGACTCACATATCCCAGTTTTGCAGTCATGTCTTGCAACTTTTTCTCGTAATACTCTGTCAGAGCTTCTAATGCCTTCTCTTTGTTGTTTTCTACCTCCGCCAGCTGTTTCTCATAATCTTCCTGCATGGTTACAATTTTTGATTGATGTACTTGAAACTTCTCAAACTCCTGAACCAGTTTCTGGTTGAATGAGTCCTCTGTTTATTGGAGAAACAATTAGCAGTTGAGCATAATGTAACTCTGTTCCCAACACAAATGCATTTGAAACAAAAACAATTCTGACAAGCACACATTAATGGAATATATGGAAAAGAATGGGTTGAGAAGCAAATGCGTAGTGTTAAAGAAATTCAAGTAGTAACTTGGAGATGGTGGTTTCATGTAACAACTGGAGTTAGGAAAAGTTAGTGATGTAAAGGTTGGTATGGTTTTAGTAAAAGACCTCTTTCGTGTTGAGAGATAGTAAATGACCACTTTCATAGAGAGAGATATCTCCATAACTACTCCAGTCTTTTTCCACATATCATACAAGAGGAATTTCAGCACATTTCCATGGCATTCTCAGCACTGCTCTAGCAGCATCCACTGAATTTCATTTCTGTTGGTGGTGACTGTGGTCTTTGTTACTCAGTAATGATTAATAGTTAATAATGCCCAGTGGCTATCTAATCAGTGCAGGATGTGTTTGATCAGAAAAATCTTGGTGCATGGTCTTTGTTACTCAGTAATGATTAATAATTAATAATGCAGTGTGGCTATCTGATCAGTGCAGGATGTGTTTGGTCAGAAAAATCATGGTGCATGGTCTTTGTTACTCAGTAATGATTAATAATTAATAATGCAGTGTGGCTATCTGACCAGTGCAGGATGTGTTTGGTCAGAAACATCTTGGTGCATATTTTTTGTTACAAAGTAATGATTATTAATTAATAATGCAATGTGGCTATCTGATCAGTGTAGAATGTTGCTCATGCATCATGATCTCTCTCTCAACCTGCCTTGTTTACTTAAAGGAAAGGTAACACCATCATGTTTGGAACAAAGCAGGCTGTAGAAGCTGCCGGACCAAAACAGCAGTGCTCTATCTGTTCACCTGTCGGAGCTTCCCTCCTAGGCCAGCTGCCAGCCAAGGCGAAGGGTCTGTACTGCCATAACATACAGTTTTCAGGGTGCATTTCCTCTTTCTAGGATACCTAATTTTTAGGATAATGCTAGTATCTTCCGCAATTCGCTCCTCAACCAAAACCACTGGCACAATGTGGGATGTCAGGTTTGGTATACGACGCCCAACATCCGCCGTTACAAATGACAGGAGTACCGGCTCTTGTTATACAGTAGCTCAGTCATATTTGACCAAGGATAATCCAGCAACAAATGAGGTAAAGGCAAAATCCAGTTCTGTCAGCCAGCTAATGAGCTGAGTGCATGGTGCAACACTGTGAAGTTTATGGGGAATGCTCACTGTTTGTGAGCCTTCAGATGTTTGTTGTAAATTGCATATTCAGACAATAGTGAGGGGCTGGTTGCCATAGAATTGGTGGTGTGCCTTATGCAGTAATGCTTGTGCACCTGCTGGTTTGCCATGACTGCTACTTCCACCCGCAATGAATAGCAGTTCTTGTAACAAACTGCCTTATGCAGCTGATGTATGTGCGAGCTGTTGGATTTTGCTGGGACTGCTGACTGACTTTCTTTTCACAAGGAGCAGTGACGGGCATTTTATATGGTTTTAATTGGTGGTGTGCCTTATGCAGTAATGCTTGTGCACCTGCTGGTTTGCCATGACTGCTATTTCCACCCGCAATGAATAGCAGTTCTTGTAACAAACTGCCTTATGCAGCTGATGTATGTGCGAGCTGTTGGATTTTGCTGGGACTGCTGACTGACTTTCTTTTCACAAGGAGCAGTGATTTTATATGGTTTTAACTGGCACAGGAACTTGTTAGGGAGCAGTGGGTCTGTTCTTTTCCCTAAAAAAAAAACCAAAAAGACATTTAGACCATAGAACCCACACAGGGAATATGCTGAATAAATGGTCCTATGGCCCTTCTTAGTCCTTTCACTGAGAAGCCGCAAAACTAACACTTCCAGTTGATAGAACATGGCACTTTTCTAACCTGTTTACCAGACTCACAATTAACCCTTTGGCTGCTGCGCCCTCCGCTAGCCAACGTAACCACTGTGCTAAGCCAGGCGAGTGCTAATCTTTCCTCCTGTGCTGAATACCTTTTTTTCACTCCAAAAGCAGAAGACGCGCTTGCGGCGCAGGATGAAAAATTGTACACCTAAAATAAAAAATCTTCAAAGGCATATGTTTGACCTTTGCGCTGACAAGTCAGACGCGCTATGGCTATGCCATGAAAACTCATTAACAAAAAGAAAACACTACAAACTTACAAAGCAAAAACAAAACACTTTAGTAAGCAAATACATGGTTTTTATTATTATTAATAATATTTTTGTGTGTTAAATATTTCAAAACAAGGTGCGACACACAATGCCAAATCACAGTTCTTGCACATGTATCTGGTTTCCCGTCATTTTTTTTGCTTTTTGTGCATACCACACACTTTCTTGTTGGGAATTTCTGCTGTGATGTTTCGGACTCTATTATTGAAGGGAAATGCCTTTGTACTAAATGAAGTGGCAGATCTTCAGTTTTTTTGTCCTCCTACACTTGTTCTTTTTTCCTAGCAATATTTCTGTAGAATTTCTCTTAGTAACATTAAGTGAAATTCGGCAACAGGAGTGCCCCCCCCCCCCTCCCCACAAATGCACAGTACACCAACCACGCTTTACAAAGGAACAAGATAACGTTTAACGCATCCAAATCCATCTGAACGCAAGTGACAGGATGTTTAATTAATTATTATTTCGGTCATCTGTTGCCGAAAGTGCTAAAAGCTTAAAATTTAAAATTAAAAAAAATAAAAAATAAAAAAAACGGCATGTAGGGGTTGAACGCAGGACCTTTCGATTGTAAAGCAGACGTGATACCAACTACACTAGAAACTCTATTGAACTGAAAATACGACCAGTATTGTACACTTTGATAGACAGACACATTTATGTCAGTTGTATATTAGAGACATTAACAATAATATTAATCATCATGTCAGTACGAGACCATATCTTCATTTTGATTATTGGGGATCCATTCCAAATCCAGTGGATGAAGATAGCTGGGTCATATATGGTCAGTCTTGCTCACGGCCAGAAGTACACGTGTCCGCCGGCGTGCCGCGAAGATAACCCAGCTCATATAACACACGTTTCAAAGTGATCCTTACTATTAATCATTGAAAGAAACTCCATTAATTCTTCATTAACTTTAATTACCTATTTTCTTGTTATTTTGTATTTAAAAAAAAAACAGTAGACTTACTCAAAACCATAAATATATTTCAGGGCAAAAAAATTACCCTTCACCAACCATGCTTCTATGGTAACAAAGCAACAGGATAAGGTGAAATGCATCTAAATACACCTAAACAAACGTAATATATTTTTTCATTGTATGTAAATGTGTCAGTTTGATCAGATTTAGGTAATGTATATTGCGATTTCACCCCTGAGAATTACGGCTCTTAGTAATCTATAAGACAAGTCGAAGACGAGTTAGCTCATCCTTAGCAGTGAGGGCACAGAAAACTAGAGACGAGTTAGCTCATCCTTAGCAGTCTACCTGGCAGACGAGTTATCTCGTCCATAGCAGCGAAAGGGTTAATGCTACTGGCTGTTTTCGCACCTTTGCAAGTGTTTGAATGCATTAACCAGCAATAGCATCTTGGAGAGTTTTTCAATCAGCTAAATGGCTTTTTTTTTAAGAGTCACAGTTTCCTATAAGCCTCAGTGATGGTGGTCAGAGGGAAATGGCATGAGTCACATGATACATGTGTTTTGTTAGGCACTGGGGGATGAACTCCATTTAATGCTTCTCACTGTTCATGTTTACTGATTACTCCTTTCATACATCTTTATATGTAGGAATTTGTTAAAATTCTATTTAGATACAATTAATAACCTGTGTAAAACTGCTGTTTTTTTAAAATGATTATTTGTTTCCCTCCAACTTAAATATGGTCGAGAATTTTTAAAAAAATTGTTTTTTTTTTAGTGTTCCCGGGGTGAAAGGGTTAAAGCCACGTAAATGATTCAACCTCTTTACCAGAGAGACACCTTCAAAACATTGGATATACCCACCTAAATGTTCCATTTCTTCAGTATGAGCTTTGTTCAAGTTTTCGATTGCTTCCTCGTGTTCCTGCACTTCTAATTCTTTATCATTTTGTATGACCTGGAAGTGAACAGATGAAATGATTTAGCTGATTTAACTAGTGACTACACATACAGCTGAATGGTTCTGCTCTGAATCAAGTTAGGGAGTTTAAATATCTAGGAAGTATGATCACAGAAGATGGTAGAATTGACAGAGAAATAGAAATCAGATGCCAGAAAGCAAGTGCACTTATATACCAATAGTCACCATTATTAAGACATCCAAGCACAACTATGAGTGCAAAGAGACAGATTATTAATAGCATATTCATTTCAACATTAAGCGACCAGTGCCAGACATGGACACTATCTAAAGCCCATTAACGCAAAATCACCACCTGCGAGATGAGGTGCCTGAGAAAAGCAGCCAACCTAACCATCTGAGATCGAGTGAATAATGAAACTATCAGGCAAATTGTGGGAACGACGCCTTGTACTAGATTCATCATGAAAACAGCAGATTAAGTGATTTGGCCATCTTGTTAGAATGTCACAAGATCAAATACCATCACATGCACTACATCTCAGAAGAACAGCTACAAGAGCAAGAGGACAGCTGCAGAAAACATGGATCGACAACATTAAAGACACTCTACACCTTAGCCAGTGGCAGCCAAAGTGCACTGGATTGCAAATTATTCCTCCCCACGACGCCTAACGGCAGAAGTGGTTTATGATGATGATGATGAACTAATGACAGTCAGCAGACAAGTAAACCCTTATGTGGAAGCTGCAGAAATGGGTTTGATTTGTTTTGCTCTTTGAGTCCCAAGAAAAGCATCATACGTTCATAGGTTTCTACCTAGAAGCCCAATGAACACATGATGCGCCAATTTTATGTCTCTCTTTACTACCCCTTGGGTCTGTGAGGCTAAACCCTCTGGAACTCAAATAGTTGCAAAAAAATAAGTAGGCAGGTAAACGGTATAATAAAGATGTCTTGAAAGAAATGAACTTTTTTAGTCCTGTGCAATTCGTGACAAGTAAAATTCTTTTCCATATGAATCCCAGCCACTGCTTAATATGTTCACATCCACTATACTACTGGCCACAGCACACTACAGAAATCTGGTTTCCATACTGGCTACTTCTGCTGAGTAACTTGCCTGTTTGAATGTTATGCATTCATGACTTTTTGTAGTGGTCATCCATTCCATTGGGAATTTGTTGTAAGAACCTCCTGGGATTGAAAAGGTCAACTCATCAAGAGAACTGATTATCTGTATAAGAAGATGACTATCTATATATTGACCATCTGTATCAAATGAAGACTGTCAACATCAGGGATATTCAACTAAGTTTACTCAGGGGCTAGACTGTTGAAAATAGGGATCATCACGGACCAGAAGCCTGAGTCAGAGCATAGAAAGATCATTAATACAGTACAACTGGCAATGATCCGAGGGCCACACGCTAGCCCTAGCAGATTTGGCCTGTGGGCAGCCAGTTGAATAGCCCTGATGTACATGTTTTGGACACGTCAAGAGAAGGAAAGACTCTGCTTTTCCTTTTTATCAGGAGTGAAAAAAATGGTACCACCATCAAACTACCAAAGAAAGGAGATTTAGGACATTGTAATAACTGGAGAGGGAGTCGCCATTGCGTAGCGGCTAGACGCTCACCTGCGGATCAGAAGGTCATGGGTTTACTCCCTGGCAGAACTAAACTTTTTTCAAAAATTACCTTGGCTCCCAGGTAGACCTGGCCTTTAGTGGGTACCAGGTGCAGTCCTGAGAAGTAAAGGAGGCCAGCACGATGCTGACCACATCACCCATCTTGTGCCGATTGGTCTATAAAAACTTAGGTCTAGCCCTTTATGCCCTATACGCCTAAAGGTGTGGAAAAGGGTCCTTTACTGCTTTTTTACTTTACTAATAATTGGAGAGGTATCAAACTATTTTCAGTAATAAGTAAAATCTTCAGCTGGGTTATTCTTTACCACAAGATGGAGTAAAATGATTGAAAAAGATTTAAGACTCAATATCATAGGAGCTGTGGCATTCCCATAAATGCTCCGTCTCTATCTTCACCAGCCACATCAGAGAGCCAGGCACAAATGACTCAGTAAATGCATACACAACTTTATTTATCTACATGATCACTATACAGTTCCACTACCTTGGAGTTGTAATAGACTGGAAAGGAGGCATTAAGACAGAGCTGGTTACTTGAAAAGCAGCTGCTAGGAGACTCTTCCAGGCCATAAACCGAGGTTTTTTTTTGCAAAAGAGAAATTAAAAAGAGGACGAAAATGACTGTTTACTTCTCTACTTATGTGCCTGTCCTGAACTATTGGCCTGAGTCATGGGCAATGACGACAGCTGACAGAAGCCGGCTTCAGACCTCTGAAATTAGATATCTGAGAAAGGTGGTCCAAATGACAAGAAGGGACAAAGTTTGCAATCAGACAATATGTCAGGAAACCCAGGCCTTACAAACTTGAGTGGATCAGTCACGGTTACGATGGTTTGGATATGTATGCAGGATGGGAGAAAATCGACCACTACAGCAGGCATGGGAGGCCATAACCAGTGAACCAGACCAGCAGGGCAACCCAGGGTCCGCTAGAAAGACAACATTCGACAGTCCCTGACAAACAGAAGACTGGAATGGAACAAAGCCAAAAAGAAAACTGCTGACAGAGACCTCTGGCGATCTTTCTAGCAAACCTCTACACCCCAAGGTAGAAGAGGAGTGACTAAGTAAGTAAAGTTCATCACTATGCATGCATGGACTAGACAGACACACTGCTGAGCATGCTCTAGAGGACTGTCTGTTACACAGCAAAGGAAAACATACTGAACAGACTACTGGAGTGATAAAACATGTTGACACACATACCTGATTCTTTATTTTCAGTCTTTCCATTTTGGTGATGAAAGTTTCTGTGAGTAATGTGATCTTTTCATTGAATATGATATCTTTCTGATTCAACTGATACTGGCTCTCCTTTCTGACTTCTTCTATCTTGGAGCTCAAATCGGACAGCGTCATATTCTGTGAAAATTATAAGTTTGTAGTTTTAGTACCTTCTCCTACACTTGTAAAATGCAGAACAAAGCACACCTTTCTATATAAGTGTTGAACCTTTTTTTGTGTTTGGGGAGGGGGGAAGGGGGGGGGGGGGGTTGAAAAGCAGGAAAAGGAATAGCAGAAACTGTCCCCTATTAAGCATGTCTTTAAAATAAACAAAAAATAGAAACAACAACAAAACAAAACAAAAAATTATGGCTTTTATGAAATCAGATGTGTTGGGCTAGGCTAAAATTCAGATACTGCAGCCTAGCTGTAACCTACAAAACAATGTGACAGCTGCCCTAAGATGATACAAAATATACTTGTGTAGCTCTAAACTACAGATAATGTATAACATCTTTTTGTAAAATCAGTGTGTAGCCCAAAACTAAACATGATACATAACAACACTGTGTAGTTCTAAACTATAGACAGTATACAACATCAGTGTTCAGCACAAAATGAAACATGATAGCGTTAGCACAGTCGATAGGAGGCTCGCTTTCAAATACAGCTGCGTATCGTTGCAGCCGTGATCAGTGTTCCAAACCAGGCGGTTTCCAGGGTTCACCCAGCCTCTAGGTAATGGGTACCAGAGTTAACAATCTGGGTAAATGGAGGAGCGTCGCTGTAGCTATGGAGTTATGTGCCGACGGCAACACAGGCAAACAGTTTCTTATCAGCTGTGCCTGACTGGTGGCAGAGCATTTATGGTTTATAACCATGTGCAATGATGCTGGTTCCCATCTCCCGACTACCTTTTTTACCTTTTACATGATACACAACATCCTTGTGTAGTAATAAGTTACAGATAGTATATAACAACAGTATAACTAAAAATTGAACAGAACATCCTTGTGTAGTAATAAGTTACAGATAGTATATAACAACAGTATAACTAAAAATTGAACAGAACATCCTTGTGTAGTTCTAAGCTGTAGATAATGCAATAAACCAACACACAGCTCTAAACTTAGTTCTTACCTAAAAAGAGTACTTAACATCAGTGCATAGCTATAAACTAAACATGACACATATGCATTAATAAGCAAAAGAAACTGGCAAGTCTGCTACCACTACATTATGGTGAACATTAGGAAGCAGAAGAAACTGGTTAAGTCTACTAACACAACATTATCTTGAACATTAAGAAACAGAAGAAACTGGTTAAATCTGCTAACACAACATTATCTTGAACATTAAGAAACACAAGAAACTGGTTAAGTCTGCTAACACTACCTTTTCAACCAGTTCTTTATGTGAGATAAGTATTTCTTCTGCCCATGCAAAATCTTGTTCCCTCTTCAGATGACCTTCCTTATCAAAGATCCTCCATAGGTTGACAGTTGCATCTTCGGCAATGCTGATTAGATAATTGTCATCAAAACTTACTTTTACCTGTGAAAAGAATGTGACACGATGAATATAGCTGTTTACTGCATTTGAATACATTCACCTGTCATGTGATGGTGATGTCTAGGATTTTTTCAAAACTGGAAATGAAAAAGTTGAAAAAGTGTGGAATAAGGCTGTGGCTTGGGCTCAATTACACACTGTGATAACAGATGGTGATTTTGATTGGCACCTTTCCATCTTTCCAGACAATAGTGTTATACTGTGCTATGAGGAGGCATGGGACTCACAGCCCATGGCGATGGCGAGTGTGACAAGCAAGACCCGCATTAGGAAAAAAGTCTTCCACAATGATAGCATGGGATTTCAGGACCATTGTTGTCAACATTTGTGTTCAGTGTGTTTCATCTCAGATGCCAGCTCTCATCCTTTCTACAGTCATTTCTTCCTTCATTCTCATTCCCTTCCTGATGTGTTCCCTCCACACAACATGGCCCATGAGTCCACATCAATACCTGTATCATTCATGTTCCACATGCACACATCTTTATATTGTAATAGAGGTTGGCTTTGACATCTTCTACTCATCTTTAATTCCCCAAAGAGGATGAATAATGGGTATCACCTGGTTTAAACACCATTTTCAATGACTGTGAACTTTAAAAAGCCCTTTGGATGATGTCCACAAGCAAATTAATTATATACTGATTGTGAGAAGATTCAGGAGCAGTTTAGTAGGAGCACCTGATCATACTTCAGTTAAAGGAAAAATGCAATTAACTCTTTCAGTCCCAGGGGATTTAGCATCAGAGGCTCAAGGGGTGGTAACAAGAGAAGTAAAATCAGTGAATCTTGCATTCACTGGGCTTCTAGGTAGGAACCCATAAACCTATGATGCGTTCCTTTGGTGGGAATGAGAGAGTCTTTCACACGTAAAAAATCCCTTGGCAGTTGAAAATCGAAAGGAGTCGCCTAACAGCGCTGCCTGGGCAACATTTAAGTTAAAAATCTACCCAAAGGATTTCAGGATCCTCGCCAGTGCAACAGAGTTCGTGCACTGCACTGAGATTCTTCAGACCGGCTTGAGTTAGAGGTAGAACATAGCACTTATGGGTTACACCCCTGTGCCATGATGGTGATCCGTCAAATAAACATAAACATGAGAGAGTTAAAAATCAAGATTATAAAGAAGACCTCACAGAAAATCAAGTTAAATTTAGGAATGCATAAAATGGATACAGAAATTAAGGGAAAGTATAACATCACTGTACAAAACAAGTATAATGCAATGAAAATAACAGATTATTGATAAAGAATGAGATATGTTGCATGCTTCATTTCAGTAGATCTCAAAAGAGATTATTCCTCCAACCGACAGAGCTGTAAACAAGAAAAGAAAGACACAGGGAAATTCTGTAGTTGATGGGTAAAAGAAGGAAGACAAAAAATGTCAAGGAGAAATATTATAGAAATCAAAGAAATATTGAGCAAATGCAAGGGGTGCTAAAGAAACTAGGTCTATAGAAGTATGTGTCTAGCATTCTATGTCTGATTTGCCACTAGCATAAGAGAAAAGCTCATTTACTTATTTACTATAAAACAAATGTAAACTGGCTGGCATGATGCTAACCATATCGCCAAATGAGTATCACTGGACCATATCACCAGTCGAGTATCACTGGACCACATCACCAGTCGAGTATCACTGGACCACATCACCAATCGAGTATCACTGGACATCGCCAGTCCAGTGTCACTGGACCACATAACCAATCAAGTGTCACTGGACCACATCACCAGTCGAGTATCACTGGACCACATCACCAGTCGAGTATCACTGGACCACGTCACCAGTCGAGTATCACTGGACCACATCACCAATTGAGTATCACTGAACCATATCACCAGTCGAGTATCACTGGACCACATCACCAGTCGAGTATCACTGGACCACATCACCAGTCAAGTATCACTGGACGACATCACCAGCCGAGTATCACTGGACCACATCACCAGTCGAGTATCACTGGACCACATCACCATTTGAGTATCACTGGACCAAATCGTCAGTCAAGTATCACTGGACCACATCACCAGTCAAGTGTCACTGGACCACATTACCAATCAAGTGTCACTGGACCACATCACCAGTCGAGTATCACTGGACCACATCACCAGTCGAGTATCACTGGACCACATCACCATTTGAGTATAACTGAACCACATCACCATTCGAGTGTCACTGGACCACATCACCATTTGAGAGCCACTGGACCACATCCCCAATCGAGTGCCACTGGACCACATCATCAATCGAGTGCCACTGGACCACGCCACCAATCGAGTATCACTGGACCACATAACGAATCACGTATTACTGGACCACATCACCAATAGAGTGCCATTGCACCATATCACCAATCGAGTGCCACTGGACTATAAAAATATGCGCTAGCATTAAATTCCCAATGTGCCATTGGTCTAAAAAATTTCCTTTACTTACATACTTTCCCTGTGGGATCTGGGAACCCATGGTGGGGTTGGTTGGGGAGGGGGGGGGGGGGGGGTATGGATTCATTGCCCAATAACAAGCACACTGTAAGAGGCAACTAATTAGGTATTGTTCTGAAGTCAGAGTGCATCTGTCCAAGAGGTGATGAGCCAACAGTCTGCATAAAAAAGCTAAATCTGTAAAACATGTGCACACAAAATTAAATTCTGGAACAAACCAAAGCTTGAACAAGAGATCTTTTTGCCAGCGTTTACAGATGGTGAATGCTACAATGAAAAAACTACAAACTCAAATGAAATTCCCAACTCTTTCAACAAATGTAAACACTGGAGAAACTCACTTTCACAACAGCTGCACCATGGCCATGATATTCGATCCAGTCACCAGAGGCTGTCAAAGGATATTTTACAGACAATACTGTCCCTTTCGTTGTACCAGCAAAAAGCATGCGGCCAGAACGAGATATAACAACTGTAGTAAACTCTAAGTCCCCTGAAGGAACCTCTCTCACGATCTGCATAAAAATGGCAGGAAACATTTTTTTTTTTTTCAAAAAAAAAAATCAATACCATCCTGCGTGTTTTGAGCTGTACAGGAGAATATGTTCCACCACATTTTATGCTCTACTTCTACTGTCTTTTTAGGACTGTGGAGGACAGGGGATCTGTAGCCTGCAGATTTATGGCCACAAGGATAGTGCAGTCACCATGAATGTTTATGGGCTAGGAAGTTTGTTTCCTACTCCTGACTGGCAAAATATACATCTCCTTATAAAGGATCTGAACCCGGGTTTTCCACACAAGAGTTCAGCATTCTAACCACAAGGAGAGCCGGCTCCTCCCACTTCTAGCACCCTCAATCTTTCTGGTTGTCAAGATGGTCTCATCTCATAAAATGGTAGGGGCTAGAATGTTTGTCTAGCACCCTCAATCTTTCTGGCTGTCAAGATGGTCTCATCTCATAAAATGGTAGGGGCTAGAATGTTTGTCTAGCACCCTCAATCTTTCTGGTTGTCAAGATGGTCTCATCTCATAAAATGGTAGGGGCTAGAATGTTTGTTTCTGCCTCCCGACAGGTAAAATATACATCTCCTTACAAAGTATCTGAACCCGAGTTTTCCACACAAGAGTTCAGCATTCTAACCACAAGGAGAGCCGGCTCCTCCCACTTCTAGCACCCTCAATCTTTCTGGCTGTCAAGATGGTCTCATCTCATAATATGGTAGAGGCTAGAATGTTTGTCTAGCACCCTCAATCTTTCTGGCTGTCAAGATGGTCTCATCTCATAAAATGGTAGGGGCTAGAATGTTTGTCTAGCACCCTCAATCTTTCTGGCTGTCAAGATGGTCTCATCTCATAAAATGGTAGGGGCTAGAATGTTTGTCTAGCACCCTCAATCTTTCTGGCTGTCAAGATGGTCTCATCTCATAAAAAAGCCACACACAAAATAGGGAAAGTGTCCTTTACTTATTTACTGGCAGGGTATAATTTTTTTTAAACTTTACTTGTTTTTGGCAGGACATCATTCTTCTTGTATATATATATATATATATATATATATGTTTAGTTGTCTCCCTCTGTGTGGATTTTTATCATGGTATGGGGGTGTCATAGGTCAACCCAGCCTAAAATGGGTACCAGGATGTATGTCCTGGGGAAGTAAAGCAAGAATAATGTGTGCATGTGTGTGTGGGGCGGGAATGGTGTAAGAATAATGTGTGCATGTGTGTGTGTGGGGGGGGGGGGGGAATTATGTAAGAATAATGTGTGCATGTGTGTGTGGGAGGAATGATCTAAGAATGTGTGCATGTGTGTGTGGGGGGGGGGGGGAATTATGTAAGAATAATGTGTGCATGTGTGTGTGGGAGGAATGATCTAAGAATGTGTGCATGTGTGTGTGTGTCTAATGCACCTTGAGAGACAGCCTTCATTTTCCTAAGATTGTTTTTGACACTATTGTTCTATCTTTACTATTTTTGGTGTGGTCCTTCCCTTGATTTGCGTTCATTACATTTCTTCTAAACAGCTGTCCATAGTATTCTACTATAGCATTCTAATCAGATGGCCAAACCATTTCATCAGTTGCTCTTCAATGCATTCAATGAATGCTTTCAGTCCTAGTCTTTCAATTTCTTCATTTTGAATAGTACTCTGGAGAGCCACCGTGGCACAGTGGCTAGACACCCACCTACGGATCGAAAGGTCATGACTTCTGGTCCTGACAGAACCAGACTCCCCCCCCCCCCCCCCCCCCCCAAGAAAAAAAATGTACATTGGCTCCAAGGCTGACCCAGACCTAAATGGGTACCAGGTTAAGTCCTGGGAAGTAAAGGCGGCTGGTGTGATGCTGACCACATCATCCACCAAGTGCTGTTTGGTTTCTAAAATATAGGTCTATCCTTACATGCCCAATACACCTGAAGGCGTGGAAAAGGGTCTTTCACTTTATTTATTACTCCAGCTGGAGCCCTAAGACATTTCATTTTCAAAGAGCTGCTGGACATTGAACAAAAAACAATTAAAATTTAAATAAATGAGGAGACTGGGGAGACCGAAACTGGTCATAGACGACCTCATTGCAGCAGCATTAAAAGATGCCTATACAAATTCACTGCATTCTGACACTTCAGTACAGACAACTACAGTGTTTTCTTGCAAAAAAGACCCAACCCAAAAATTAGACCTAGCACATTATTTTTTCAGGAGGCTCGCAGTATAAGCCCTACCCCTAAGTTAAAGTACTTGGCCAGATAAACAGATTTTGTTTGTCATGCAGACTTGTGGTTCCTTGCCTCTCATGATGGAGGTTTTGAATTACAAAGCAATGAATGGATAATTAAATCTATATTATAATTGTTGACATTAAAATGTAAAAAGAAAATGATAATACAAATTATAATTAATTATTTGTAATTACCTAAGTGGACACGCCTTTGTACATGAAAAAAAAAGACATTCACTTAAAATAAACCCTAAGACATCTTTTGGAGGAGTTGACCTGATTCAAGAACTGACATCACAGCACTCGGAGCATTCCCATAAGTACTCCGTTACCATCTTCAGCAGCCAGCAAAGAGTTCCAATACCAATGGTTTGATTATACGTTTGTCTTGCCTTTCCTCTGAGCGTCAAGTATCGGTCAGATCCTCTTGCCACTCCCCGCTGCCTCACTCTCACCAGACTGTAATGATCCATTTGCTCCTCCAAACTGTACACCATCTCACACAAGGCAATAAACCACATCTGCAATATCATGCATCAATATTCCACCAAGATGTGCAGAGCTAGGCCAGTCTGTTAGCCTGTTCCTTTCCCAATACACCGGCATGCCATGGAGATAAGATCCAGACAATGCTCTGCACCAGTGACCTCCGAAGCAAAGCACGCCATTCTGCACAAAGCATGCCTGTCCTCATCTTCCTCAGCATGCTTTCTGAGTCAGTTACAATAACGATATGTGTGTGTATGTGTGCATGTATGTTTTTGTGTGTGTGGATGTGTTCTCTAACCAGCAGAAAGCTCCAGTGACCATGAAAGCACAGTGACCACCTCCACCTCCATTCTTAAGCTGGATGTTGTGGTATCATATGCTAGCCTCTCCTGCAGCAAAAGTGGGGAGGAACCGTTTGCAGTCCACACTAGAAAAGTGGCAGTGGCCACTGTCATTCTGTGTGGAAGTTCAATGTCTTCAAGCCATCAATCTATTGTCTCCTTGAGTGCCCTCTTACTCTCACATAAGATTTTTTAGTGCATTCGTTATAGTTGTTCTGGATGCAGTCTAACGTGATGACCAAACCATCTGATATTTTGCTTATTTTTCAGAATGGCTCTGTGGCTTAGAGGTAGGTTTACCATGGTTTGGTTCCAGCTGCAGGCGGTTTAGAAAAAGAATTTTCATGCTCTGAGACAACAGTATGAATGGCATCATGGAAGAGATTGGTGCCTCAACACATACTACTCCCACAGTTAGCAGATTAAGTAAAGTAAGTAAAGTAAACATCCCTTTTTACGCCTTAAGGTGCATCGGGCATATGGGAAGAGCACCCATATTTGTACAGACTAGGTGGGTAATGTGGTCAGCATTATGCCGGTCGTCTTTACTTCCCCAGAACATACATCCTGGTACCAATTTTAGGCTGGGTCGACCCGCGACAACCCATACCATAATAAAAATCCACGCAGCCAGCAGTGGGTTTCGATAGCGGTACACTGGAATTACGAGTCGGACTCGCAACGCCTTAGCCATGGACACAACGCACAGTTAGCAGAAAATACAATTTATTTACTTTCTGTTGTGGAGACTACAATTGTTATTTATTTTATTTTATTTTATTCATAAATCCTTTTCCAAGTAAAGACCAAAGAAAAACTGCCTTAAGTGAAATTAAAAAAAAAAATTTAACACAAACCCTTGATTCAGCAATCTCCCTGAGTATTTTGTCAGAACCAACAGCAATAACCGACTTCCCATCTGGTGCGATAGTGATGCTTGAGTAACTGCATGTCTTGAGCACACTGTCACCAATTCTCTTCCCTGTGGTGGTCTCCCACTCATAGACAGCACCGTCCATGCCACAGGACACCAGCTTGTTGTCGTCAAAACTCCAGATAACAGACTTCACTTTTCTAGAGGTGGCCACAGAGACAAATAATGAAGACAGAATTCAGGGACAATTTCATTATCATCATCATCATGTAGCCGGTCCTTTAAAAATGTTTGGCTCCCAACATAATCCAGCTGAAAGAAAAACTCCGCCAGCCATCCTGCTTCATGCACTTAAGTGCTCAAGGTGTCATGTCTCTTAGGACTGTGCCCACCTTCATTGTAGTTGACTACTACTCAGTATCATGCCCTAAATTACTGATCTTTCCAAACTACTGTGTTGTTTCATATGGCTTTAGTTTTTAAATTTTCAAGACAAGATTCTATTTACTAGTCAATCTTTCTTGATGATCAGCATTTCTCTTCTTCTTCATCAATAGTATTCTAAGAATCTTTCTGTGCTTTTTAGTTCAAAACCCCAATTTTCTTCCGTACACACTAGGGGAGTAAAGCAACACCTGCACGTAGTTTATGTTTCTATCCTATTAAGAGAAATAGTTACACAGTGATTAGTGCCCCTGCTTGTCAAGAATGTGGTCGGGGTGTAATCCTTTAATGGTGGTACAGGGTTAGAGGTTTCTGAGACAGAAACAAATAATGAAGACATTATTAATGTAAGTTTAGTTTATTATGTTTTATCATATTAAGAGAAACAGTTGCAGTTTGAATAGTTCAACATTTAGTAAGAAAGTAAAGCAAATGACTCTTCCCATACATTTTGGCACAGTGGATATGAAGACCTATATTACCAATCAAATTACCAAATGAATCTCTTTCTCAAATGTTACTGTCTGTTGTGTTTGTAAATTGTTGCTGCTTTTGTTATTCAACCTATGCTTGGTTAATATAAATTTATGTAACTTATGGTGCCATTTAAATGGTTTAAGATTAATTCTGTCTGTTTTCCATAGTTATGGATTTCAAGCTGTACAATAGACATGGCCAATGAAGTCAGTCATGCTCTGAATATATCTGTTTCCATAGCAAGGTGCACACGCTATCTGGAGGTGACAGGTTCAATTTCCGGCACAGTAACTATAACTTTAGATTTTTATGTTGTCTAGTGCGTCCTGCTATCTTTCTACTTCTTTCTATGAGTGTCAATCAATACAATGCCTGTTTGTTGACTATATTTTTACAGATCAATCAGCGCTGGACATTTACTTTCCAGAACATTAGCTGACACTCGTAAATTTTGGAGAAAAATAAATCAGCCTTGATGTGGATCTGAACCCTAGATGTTTCGGCTGATAAGAGAGCATCTAGACACTATACAATTGAGGCTTCTGATTAGTACACTTGCATGCCATGATTTTAGCCTGGGCCCAATCCTCAGTAGGGGCAGAGGTTGAGGGGCTGTTGAAAGAGAGAGAGATAGAGAGTAACACAGACAGAGAGAGACAGGACAGATAAACAGAGAGGGAGAGAAAGAGAGAGAGAAAGAGGGAGAGAGAAAGAGAGAGAGAGACAGAGAGAGACAGAGAGAAAGAGAGAGGCAGAAAGTAGAACTTGACAGCTTCACAATAGCACAGTCAAGAATGACCAAATGAACGTTGCTGCTTAAATACCTTTATCAAGGGACAGCCTATGATTTAAGTGGACAATGATACAATTACATAAAGTAACGCAACTTAATGGTGATGCTCGTAACAAAATCTCCAACGCTTGAAAAAAAAAGACTACACCCATTATACATTATCACAGGAGTAAGATACTGGACACGAAGTAATCCAGATAAGTAGGATAGGTAAGCAGAATGAGAAGCTACTGTCAAAAGAGTAAATACCCCAACGGTGTTCCCTTCAAACTGTATTAATTTATGTTGATAACCAAATTTGAATCCCTGCAAATATATGTTTTAATCGGTGCATGAATCAACTAAATATATGTGATTGATAATGTATTCCCTCATAACTTTAATACTAGTAGCTTTTGAAGCAGACATTTTGCCCAAAATCCTCGGTTCAAATGGATCACAGTACCCAACAGATAGTGTTTACCTCAACTTACCCGTTGTGACCTTTAAGATTCAGGATATTCTTAAAAGTGTAAGTCGAAAACAGCTGGATCACATTGCCCATCACTGAAGCAAACATATGTCCACCATAACTGAATGCACACTGGTTGGATAGTGGAAAACAAAGCAGACATTTAGTATTTTCACACTGGTTGGATAGTGGAAAACAAAGCAGACATTTAGTATTTTCACACTGGTTGGATAGTGGAAAACAAAGCAGACATTTAGTATTTTCACAAGGGTTGGATAGTGGAAAACAAAGCAGACATTTAGTATTTTCACAAGACATTAATCTGTGAACCTGTTACCATTTAAATTACATGATGTCAGAATAAAACAAGTGAATGATAAGGTTCTTCTTCTAAAATAGAAAGGTGAAGATAGGGATGCTTTAAGCAGAGTGGCAAGCTTCACTGGGAAGGTCACGGGTAGTGAGCATACTTTGAATCTTTTCTCCAGGCTATGCCGGCATAGTAGGTAATAAACCGGCAGACAAATTGGCTGGGTGGTAAATTGATACATGACAAGGCAGATGTGGTCAAGGCCCTTTGGGAACAATCAATGGAATCAGTAGAGAAAGAAGATTACTATGGCCTAATGAGAATGGGTGCAACCAGAGGGTCTGGCTGGGCCACTACACTCAAAGGAAAGACAAGATGGACATATAACTAGATTGTGACCAGTACCATCATTATTGGAACTCTGCGCTGGCTGCTGATGATGGGGACGGAGCGCGCATAGAATTGCCTCCGAGTGCTGTGATGTCGATTCTTGACTCAACTCAACTCAACTCTTCCAAAAGTCCACAATGTGTGGCATTAGTCCTAATGTAGTCCCCCAGCCTTCTGTCTCATGTAGTGTCAATCGTTTCTGCCATAGTTGTCTCTAGAAGTCAACATGTCAACATGCCAAACTACCATTTTATTTCTTGGTCTTCCCCGCTTTTCATCCAAGCTGGATGAGAAACTGAAAGAGAATACAAGAACAGTAACTCTCTCTCTCTCTCTCTCTCTCTCCCTAACTCCCTCCCCCCCTCTCTCTCTCTCTCTCTTGTTGTACCCCACCAGGACATCACACAAGCGATAAACACCCAGTGAAACAAAGTGCCACCATGCGGACAAGGATCACCAGTTGAGAGGTCCCAGAAACCCCTTTCAGCTGTTAGGCCATACTTATGGGCCGGCTATATTTAGGGCCCCCATCAAAAGCCAGGGTCGGGCTTCAAATAATGAATTATTACATCCCACATGGGAAGGACAAAATAAATAAGAACAGTAACTACAAATCCATCACCCTTGTGCACAGGTGGTCAGACACAATAGACAGCTCAACATATTCTTTCAAACTCAAATCCTCTACAGGCTGAACACTGGATTACAGCAGAGGTGGCCCATGTGTCGACTGCATTATGTTAGTCAACCAACAAGCCATGAGAGGTAGCTCGCAGTGGTCTGTGTCATACTATCTGAATCAAAATTATTACTGTTCGTTGACTCCTTTTATAAAGCGTAGTCGATAAAGTAGACCATAAATGATTTGATTGATTTGATTCAAGAACCGACATCACAGCACTCGGGGCATTCCCATAAGCGCTCCCGTCCCCATCTTCAGCAGCCAGCGAAGAGTTCCAATACTAATGGTACCAGTAGCTTTCTGATTAAACATCCGTCTTGCCCATAAATGATTTCTAAAATATAAAATAGACCATCAGTGATTTCTGAAAGTAAAAGTAGACTGCCATCAATTTATGGAATAAATAGTAGATAGCTAGTGATTTCTGAAATGAAAAGTAGACTGCTAGCGATTTATCAAATCCAAAGTAAACCGCCAGTGATTTATAAAATTAAAAGTAGACTACCATCAATTTATAAAATAAAAAAATTGGCCATAAGTGGTTTATGAAATAAAAGTAGACCTTAAAAAAAAAATTGATGGCCATGGCTAGACTACAGGGAAATGAACCCACAACCTTCAAGGTGTGAGGCAAACAGCTAGACTACTTTACCATGGAGACCCCCAAATATAGAAGATGGAATGGAGACTATAGACCAGAGAGTGACAGCATAAGTAAACTGAACAGGAAAGAACAAACACAAATTTTTAGGCTTCAAAAAGTACAATGCAGTCTTGAAGCACACCTACATAAAACAGTCCTAAAAGAATCTGCAATCTGTGAATGCAGAGCAGACAGACAGACTCCTGAACATGTACTACAGGACTGCCCTAACTGCTCCTTGCAGAGGCTTGGGATCTGTTCCAAAGGAGCTACATAACAAGACAAGCTGTGGGGAACTAGCAACGACTTTAGATGTACCATCCTGTTTGATACCCAGACAGGACTGAATGCTTAGCATGACTGATGTTGAACATAGAACTGCCAAGGGGGGATCTTCACGGGCAAGTGGTTAGCAATCTGCCTCGCACTCTGAAGGCCGAGGGTGGGTTCATTTCACGGCTGGGTCTTTCGGTTCATGAGTGCAATTTTTATGGAGTTCGTGCTTTGTGCAATGCGCTTTTGACAGGCAGCTAGCCGTTCTGAAAACAGACTGAACCACATGAGATCAAATTAGAAGAAGAAGCAGAAGTACAACAGTGGTCCAGGTTTAATCCCCAGAAGCGGTAGGATCTCCCCTGGCAAGAACAGCTTTGGGGTCAACACCAAGCCATAAAAATGGGGTGCCAGATGATTTCCAAAGTTGTCTGGGAAGAATAAGTGATGAGGAAGGAAACCAGCCACGCCCACCTCACTTGATTGCTATGAGAAGGCTTAACCCTTCAGTATCTGTTTTGCAACTTCTTCTTCTGCGTTCATCTGTAATAGTGCAGTTGGCATGCGTTGTTGTGGTTTATAGCCAGGCTGCAACATCTGTGCTTTTCAATCCAACATGTCCAATTTCAGCAAGCCTTGGTTTTTAATTTTTTTGTTCACTCTATCTTGGAAAATCTCAAAGTTTCAAGGGGAAAGTCCAATATTTTAGGGGTGTAATGATGTGAAATGAACTCTGACTGGCTCTAACCCTGACCTCCCTATAATATTGGACTTTCTATGGAACTCTAGGAATCCCCAAGATGGGGGGGGGGGGGGGGGGGATTGAAACCTGTAATTAGTACCCTTTTACAAAAATTTTGGTAGGATGGGGAATTGGCAGGGGGGTGGGGATAAGGGTCTATGAGGATCTATTCTTGTCCCAATGCTTGTTATGGGGTCAGTTGGTCTATTCTTTTCCCCCAAATGGGAACCTGGAACCCACACTGGGAAATGTTTCTTTTTCTAAACTTGCAGAGAACTACTTTCATACACCCCTCTTAATGTAACAAACTGAATGAAAACCTAACTAAATAACTAAAATCGTTATGAAACACAACAGTTTTGTACCCCTTTAAACAGTGCAATTTCAGGTTGCTCTAATATTAACAATAATATACTGCTAACTTCTCTATCTCATACCTCAATACAGCCTCTTACAGAAAATTCTCTAAAGATGACGATATCATCAATAAAAAGATTCATAAGCCGCAGTTTTTCAGTAAATCCAACCAAAATAAACAGGCCAGAAGGGTGAAGGGAAATACTAAATGCCTCCTCGTTAAATACTTTGTGCATTTCCAGATTACTGCAAATAAAAAAATAAAAAATAATAATAAATGAAGGGATTATTAAAAATGTTGACATTGTTTTTTATAACAAACAGTGTTTTTTTATGGATATGTTATGAGAAAGAACAGACTCAAGACCTTGTTTACAAATGTCAAGATTGATGGAAAAAGATCAAGGAAAAGGCAAAGAGATAAATACCCTGATGGCCTGACAATAAACATTGTGAGGGAAAAAAAAAAAAAAAACTAGAGCACAGACCTGATCTGTGATTCATGTCACCATGTGAGACTGCAAAACATTACTGCCTACACTTATCAGTATGGCACTTTATGATGATGTGACGGTTTTTATCTCAGTGCCATCTGTATTTCCACTCAGCTCCTGCCCTATTATCTCTTTCAGTCCCAGTCAGTTGTATTAGTAACTCACCCATACTCTTCTTAACTTCCTTATTATTCAGGTGTGGAATGAGATACAAGGTTCTGGTTCTCACTCTTCTGGTCACCTTGGCCACAGACACTTGATACTACTTTGGACTTTGGTGGCAGTGAATCCACATCACTCGCCAGGATGGCAGACTTGGGAATTAAGATCGGCACAGCAAAAAACTAGACGCACACCGGACACGTCAGAAGACTTGTTAATCAACATAGAACTGGTACTATTAGCCATCGGACGTTGGGATTCATACTGAGGGGAGGATCTGAGCACCTATGGACATGTCCGGAGTGCAATGATGATAACCCAACTAACTAACTAACTAACTAACTAACTTGATACTACTGAAGCAGCTCTGAGGTTATCTTGCCATCCTGTTCTTGACCTACTTCAGCTCTAGGACCCTTTCCACTTTTGGTATATGCCATGTGTGATGTTCTTAATGGGTGAATCAGTTCCAACCGCTGTCTTTGCATATAATTTAGTAATTCTCCGTGTGGGTTCCGGGGCCCTATTATAGGGAAAACAAGAATAGATCGACTGCCTACCCAAAAGCATGTCGTAACTAACTGGGAGCTTCCTTCGAGTACATCTGTCTGAGAGGCAAGGAACCAGCAGTCTGCATACACATGAGTCAGATCTGAAAACGGATGCACATGCAACACTCAGGTTCTGGAACAGGACTGCAGTCCAAAAGTTAATGAACAAACAGAGTTTACCACTGGTGAACACGAAGAAGAAGAAGAATTTAGTAATGGTTCTATGCAGAATATTACTCTCATGACTTAATTCAGGGTTTTATCCCTTCAGTTAACTCCCATAGCCTTTGATTTATAAATACCTTTTTTAACTTTCTCTACTCTATATACTTGTTAGACTAACACATTCTACCTAAACTGAAGGTCTCCATGGTGAAACGGTCAAGTCGTTTGCCTTCCATGAAGGATGTGGGTTGATTTCACTGCTGCATCATTCAGATTACATTTTAATTTCTAACAGATGCCTAGGGATTGTCGCCGAAGCTAGGGAATTCATGCTTTGTGTGATGCTTTCAGCAAGTAGATAGCTGTTTTGCAGAGAGAGCCTGAGCCAAATGGGATAAAACCCAGTGCAATGAAGCTGATCCTCTGGACCTCGACTGTAATTTTAGCTTCTTCTGTCTCATCTTCTTCTTTAGTAATCCCAACCCTTGAGGGATGTATGATTACCCAAACAATAACCAACAGTTATACTGTGTGGCCCCCTATGGTTACAAAGATGTCAACTGCAGTGAGAAAGAAACAAAGTGTTAAAGACACATGAGACATGGACAATAAGCAGACAGGCTGAATAACATATACTCAATGGCACAGATGTGGTTTTTAGGAAGAGTGCAAAGAATATGATGGAGTAAAAGAAAAATAATTTAAGCAGTCTTCATCAAGACAGATGAAAGTTGTAAACTTATTAGAGCAATTAGACATAGATAGTCTGATGTGTATATGGACATAATAAATAAGAAAATACTGGGAAAAAAACCAGTAGCAGAAGGCATGGTGCCAAAGGAGGCAAGGGGGGGGGGCAGCAGGGGGATGGGCACAGAATGTGGGTGATTCCCTGAATATAATATTTGAGTACACAGGGCAGGAGAACTGGTGAAAGATCGAGTTTCTTTCAGGCAGACAGATGACAGCGACGTTTTGCAAAAGACCTGCTACATGATGATGATGATATGAGAAGGAATGGATGCGCGAACTTGCTAACAACTAGCAAAATTTTTCTAAACTGCACAAGAGGAAGGCAAAGAGATAAATATCAGGATGGCTTGGCCACAGGGATGGGCCAAGACAAGAACAATGAAGTGATCCCTGATCGTGGGAGATGGCCAAACATGACCGATTACACTTACTAGTGTGGGACATGATGATGGTTACGAAAAAGTAACTTTCATTTTCTAAGATGAAAGGAACCTTTTGGGATAAAACAATTTTAAAAAATGCGTGTCTGAGCGAGTTAATGACAATCTTGCCACTAGCAAACATTCAGACTATACGACTTACTACGTACCATAGTTCCAGACAATTACAGAACAATCTAAGGCACAAGTGACGACAAGTGGTTTCCTGATGCAGACACTAGCACTAGCAAACATTCAGACAATAATACTTACTATGTATCATAGTTCCAGACCCTTACAGAACAATCTAAGGCACAAGTGACAACAAGTGGTTTCCTAATGCAGACATCCACACCAGTAATGCAGTTATTGTGGAATAACTGTGTCAGGACTTCAAACTTGGTTGTCTCTCCCTGACAGAAAAATGATTTGAATGATTTATCTTTCTAACTTTCACTCCCTCTGCCGGCAAATCAATGGTCCCCTCACCCCCACTGAGGAAGGGGGGGGGGATATGGAAGAACTGGTCCAGGAGAATCCTAGCACTTCACCTTGGGCCGTGACTCACAGTTACAATTTGCACTGTTGGTAATTATCCCAGGCCCACATTCCCCCCCCCCCCTAATTTTGATCGCTAAATCTACTGCAGCTTCAGCTTTAATAATAATAAAATGTATTCCCAATGTTATTACCTTTTTTTTTTAAAAATAATTAATACTTTGGTGATCCGTGGCTGAAAGTGCTAGGAGCTGAAATTTAAAATTTACACTTAAAAAAGGTAAAAGTCATGAAGGGGTTGAACGCAAGACCTTATGTTAGTAGAGCAGCTACACTAGAACTCTGAATGAAAATAAGAACTGAAAACAAGACCAGTATTGTACATTGTGACAGACCGACACATTCATGTCTGCTGTATAGTATTTAAAAAAAAAAAATTTTTTATTCATCATGGTCACCATATCATCTTCTTGATCATTGGGGATCATTTTTTTTTATCAGCATTCACGCCAGACGACGTCATTTACACAGATGGATTCGTGAAGCGTGGGTTAAGATCAGCATGGGCAAACACAGCACAAAAGGTGGGGAAAACAATCAAAGAGGATAGCGGCGCTTACTATTCAACTAGGTCAAGCATGACCATGGAGTTAACTGCTGCTTCATGGGTAACAAAACAAGGGGCCACAAATGCAGTAATCGTTTCAGACTCTATGAACATGCTTTAGAAAATAGCTAAAGGTAGTCTACGCACCGAATGGGTAGAAAGCAATCGGAAGTCACAGTTAACCTCCATCATCTGGATCTACACACCTGGCTATGTAGGTAAATGATAATTAAAGAGCTGGCCAACAGGCAAGTAATGCACCAATGCAAATGGGAAGAAGCATGGACAGAGCTGATATCATCAATGCTGTATGGACTAGAGTGGGGGATAATGGCAAATCTTTGACACTAACACAACTTCATGATGGAGAAGTTTTGCTTGGTGAAGCACGACTATGCTATCTTTAAGGTAAAGACGGGAAATGTTTTAACCAACTTCTCATGGGAACAATCAGCAGAGGTACCTTGGAGTGGCTGCTGCATCGGAGGACTGAGCACGCATGGGTATGCCCAATGTGCAAAGACGTTAATTATAATAACATAATATAACATGACATAACATAACATAACATAACATAACATAAGGTTGGGCTGTAGTTTACAGCTATGCTGTGACATCTGCATTTTTAGGCCCAGCACATCAGATTTCAGTAAATCTTTAAAATCTTCCTTTGTTGGGGGGGGGGGGGGGGGGGGGGAGGAAGCGTAGGTCTATTCCTTGCAAAACTGGGCGCCGAAACCTACATGGAAACTCATACACAGGAAACTCATAACATTAACTTGTTCAGTTACAGAACTATTCACAGCAGTGGCTTAAGGAGAGAAATAACTACCAAAAATTTTTCAGTACGCAATTTTCAAAGAGGCAGTTCTGCATGCCAGACTGCTTTAGTGTTATATGACCAAATGCAGAACACAGTGTGTAATATTTGGGATTCATGAGAACAAGTTTATCATAATTAAGAACTGTTATTCGGAGGAGAGCCAACTTGGTTGCTGCTTCCTAACACAAGGATGATATTAAATAAATATCTTAAAAATTTTAACTCGTTTGCCTCAGTCTTTATTTTAAAGCATAATTTAAAAAGCATTGATAAAAAAATTATTCAATTATGATCTCATTTTAAGAGGAAACTGTGCCGTAACTCAAAAGCTGGTTGTCTTTCGTTGATAGAAAGATGAAAAAAATTATTTATTTCACATTTTCTAATTCTTTTTGTCCCAGTCATTTTAAATTCTCCCTCTTGAGGAGCACAAACATCCGTCGCTTCTGGTTTTTGCCCCGGCTCCGTAAATGTCCCTTTCCCGACTTCCTATAAAGTAGTGTTTCCCAACCTTTTTTGTACCGCCGAAGCCTTTCTAAAATTTGTACCGCCCCCACCCCCTTCATACCTTTGTGACTTAAACGAGTCAACTGGGGGAGCATGGGCTCCAAGTTGGGAAAAATTACTATATAGGCTTCTTTTTGAGGAGCCCCGTTAACAACATTACTTTAATTTTTACCTAGGCAACCTTTCAGAATGACCGGGTACGAGCATAACTCATAGTTGCTAAAATAAAAAAAAAACATTTAGGCTGGTATTTTCTTTTGGAAAATGGTTTCATTCGTAGAAAACAGGACACAAGAAGTTGGACTGCATGTGCCAGAGAGGCAAGGTACCAAAAGTCTGCAAACAAATTAGCCAGATCTGTAAAATGGATTTGCATGCAAAATTAAAGTTTTAGAACAAGACCAAAGTCCAGAAGCGAATGAACAACCCTAACATTCTACCCAAGCTTATGAATGTAAAGAAGAAGAAGAGGAAGAAGAAGAAGAAGAAGAAGAAGAAGAAGAAGAAGAAGAAGAAGAAGAAGAAGAAGAAAAAGAAAGAAGAAGAAGAAGAAGAAGAAGAAGAAGAAGAAGAAGAAGAAGAAGAAGAAGAAGAAGAAGAAGAAGAAGAAGAAGAAGAAGAAGAAGAAGATGCAGGCAGCTCAAAGAGATAAAGTGTTTGCCACTGATGTATATGAGTACATCTTACAGAATTTACCAGACTGCCATTTAAGGAAAAGAAATCTGTCCTCACAGCAGCAATTCTGCAAGGCAGTCCATGAAGCATGGGTGAATATCATCTCATTTGTGACCTAGAAACAAATATGTAGACCATCTGACCACTGAAAAAAATTAAAGAAGAAAAAGAAGGTAGCGAGTAGTATGACTTACTGTGCCCTCAAGAGATGAAACTGAGATATAATAGAGCTGTCCTTTAGTGGTAGTGGCGACAAGCACATCTTCAGAAGGGCTGACAGCCAGGTGATGAACAATCTGTTGAGGGCTGAGCTCGGAGTCTAGTAAAATGTGTGTATCTGCAGGGATCTGCAAAATGTAATGTGAACAAAATCAGCAGATTACATTTGTGAACAGACCAAAAAAACCCAACAGTAGAACAGGGCTATTCAATTGGCAGCCCTGGGGCCAAATCTGACCCACGAGGGCTTAGCAAGGGGCCAGATAATCGCTGCCATTTGTATTGTATTAATGACTTTTTTCTATATGCTGCAGCATACAAATTTATCCCCTAAGTCAACTTAGTTGATTAGCCTTGCAGTAGATTATAAAACAATTTCAGAAACTGACCATTAATGATGAATGAACTTTATTTTAAAAGGTAAACAAATTTTGCATTAGGCCTGTCTTATTTTCAATTGTACAACCAAAGAATACATGTTCACTGTTTTTAAAAAAAATCCATGATTACCTTCATGATTATGTAACATAAGAAAAGGTCTTCCAATCCATCATTACTTTCTGACTGTTTAACATATAAATACATGCTCACTGTCTTCCAGTCCATCATTACTTTCTGACTGTTTAACATATGAACACATGCTCACTGTCTTCCAGTCCATCATTACTTTCTGACTGTTTAACATATGAATACATGCTCACTGTCTTCCAGTCCATCATTACTTTCTGACTGTTTAACATATGAACACATGCTCACTGTCTTCCAGTCCATCATTACTTTCTGACTGTTTAACATATGAATACATGCTCACTGTCTTCCAGTCCATCATTACTTTCTGACTGTTTAACATATGAATACATGCTGACTGTCTTCCAGTCCATCATTACTTTCTGACTGTTTAACATATGAACACATGCTCACTGTCTTCCAGTCCATCATTACTTTCTGACTGTTTAACATATGAATCCATGCTCACTGTTTTCCAATCCATCATTACTTTTTGACTGTTCAACATTGGATTACAATGCCTTGTCTTCCAATCCATCTTTACTTTTTGACTTTAACATATGATTACAACCCCTTGTCTTCCAATCCATCATTACTATTTGCTGTTTAACATATGAATACAACGCCTCGTCTTCCAATCCATAATTACTTTTTGACTGTTTAACATATGATTACAAGCTCACTGTCTTCCAATCCTTCATTTAGCTGCACAGACTATGAATAAACGCTCACTGTTTTTCAGTCCACCATTACTGCCCGATTACATAACATAATAAAAGGTCTTCCAATCCATCATTAATTATTGGTTGTACAACATATTAATGTATGCTTACTATCTTACAATCCATCATTACCTTCTGATTGTACAAGATAAGAATACCTGCCAACATTCTTCCAATCCATCATTACTTTCTGGCTACAAAACATAATATATGCCCAGTCTTCTAATCCATCATTACTTTCTGGATATAAAACAAAAAAATTCATGCTCATTGTTTTCCAATCCATAATTACTCTCTTTCTTTAAAACATAAGTTTTCTAATGCATCACTACTTCGTGACTGTCCAACGTATGAATAAATACTTATACTCTTCCAATCCAACATTACTTTCTGACTATAAAACATATTACATGCTCACATCTTCAAATGACTTATTACTTTCTGAATATAAAACATAAGAAAGTCTTCCAATCCATCATTACTTCCTGACTGTTCAACATAAGAATACATGCTCAATGTCTTCCAATCCTTGAGGAACCTCATGACTTCTGCTTCCTGTATGGTCGCATTCGTTTGCCGTGTCACTTGAAGACCACTATTTCACACCCTGCATCGGTTTTCTTCAGTTACAGCATGTCAATTTCCAGTTCAAACACATGATAGCAACATGTTCCACCCCTGGATGCCTCAGGGAAGTTGATGTGTCTGTTAGCCTCAGGGAAGTTGATGTGTCTGTTAGACACTGTGTAATTAATATATGTTTGATGTGTTTGCAATCTAGCAATAGCATGGGCGCACCACATGAACCAGAATTCACTGAAGTGTCAGGGAGATCCAGGTTGCAGATGTCAGATC